ATTAATGACAAAAAGGCCAGTGAAGTGACACAAGTTGTTCTGGAAACTTGCCCTTGCACCAGTAAGTTCTGTAAAATCCTGCTGTTAACATGAGGGCTTCTAGAAACATTAAAGAAAAAACAAGAGTCAAAACCTAGAGACTAATCCTGCAGTTATTACACAGGCTAACTGAATTACTGCTACATGAACTAAGTGGCTGCAAAATCTAAACCCTGGAATATTCACACAGATTTCCCAGAATTCAGACTCTCTTTAGATTGCATTTTCACTTGACTGGTTTGAAAAAGAGTTTATATTATGAAGGTAAAGGTGCCTGGCTGAATTCACAGCCAGAAAACACAAACATTAGCTAAAGAAGACAAGACCTTTAACACATATCCTTATGCCATCATGTGTTTGCACCTTTATTCCCTGTATTACTTTTGTTTCAGATGGTGAAGTGCCTCATAGCAGGGACATCTGTGTCTGTAAAGCACCACATGTGTTTACAGTGCTCTGTAAATTATTTCCACCAAATATTAACACCATTAGCTACTTTACCGAGCCTTGCTTTTGAGATTGAAAGATACACACTCACAAACACAAACCTAGCAACAGCTTAGCTGAGCAAACACATTTATTAAAATACTACTTCTTGGGAGTTTTGGTACGCTAAACACAAATATGCACACACACACATATATATATATACACCCACTCCACATGCACAAGTTTTGTACATGGGTATATATAAACACATACTGAAATTCCACAGAAGTTTCTAAGTCACCTAACTTCGGTCCCCAACTTTAGTTTCTGCAAAACCAAACGCAGAACCAAAGGCACCATTTAAGTCAGAAAGAGTTGCTTCACTTGCCGTTTGGTATTTGACTTGGAACAAACGTGAAAGCAAATGCATGCCCTCCTGCCAGTTTTGATCCACACCAAAGTTGTGTTTTTCTCAGCCTAAACTGTAACCCAATTTTTTTCTTGAACATGATGACAATATAAATACGATGCAGCTGATACGGTGTGTTGCATCAGCAACAGGTCAAGGGAGGAGACTCTCCCTCTCTGCTCTGCTCTGGTGAGACTTCCCCCTGCAGTACTACATCCAGCTCTAGGGCCCTCAACACAAGAGGAACATGGAGCTGTTGGAGCGACTCCAGAGAAGGCCACGGAGACGATCAGGGGGCTGGAGCACCTCTGCTATGGAAAAACAGGCTGAAAGAGTTGGACTTGTTTGGCCTGAAGAAGAGAGGCTCTGGAGAGACCTTAGTGCAGCTTCCAGTGACTAAAGGGGTCCTGCATGGTGTCTGGAGACGGACTTTTTACAAGGGCATCTACTGACAGGACAAGGGAGAATGGCTTTAAGATGACAAAGGGGAGATTCAGATTAGATATAAGGAAGAAGCTCTTCCCTGTGAGGGTGGTGAGGCACTTGCACAGGCTGCCCAGAGAAGCTGTGGCTGCACCATCCCTGGCAGTGTTTAAGGCCAGGTTGCATGGGGCTTGGACCAGTCTGGTCTAGTGGAAGGTGGGCTCCATGCTGTTGCAGGAGGTTGGGACTAGATTAGCTTTAAGGCCCCTTCCAAACCAGACCATTCCATGTTTTTCTGTGCTAGTAATGTCCCATGAAAAAAAAAACAAAACAATTTACACCAGACACAAGTACTGTTTTCTTCATGAAGACAAGTGGAATGCGACCTATGGTTCCAAACATGATTTCTTCTGCTGCTGCTGGCATTCTGATTTAAAAATAAGACAGGTAAAAACATCCATACTGAAGCAGCCGACAGTACAAACCCAAAGTCTCTTTCGTGGCACCTCTGCGCTCAGCATGAGCTAGGGACCTCAGCACTGAAGGCGCCGGTCAGCAGCGCGGTAAAACCGAGCCGTGCGAGGCGACCCCGGGCTGACCGCAGACGGTGCGTGGCACGGCCGCGGTCACACCAGCTGTAACGCCGCTGCCGCACCCACACCACAGCGCCACCGAAGCAGTGACCCCGAGGCCCACTCGCCGCCGAGTTCCGCTGCCCCTCGCAGCCTGCATCTCGCGGATGGGGCCTCCCCTCAGCAGGCGGCCGGCTCGCCACACGAGGGTGAGGAAGTGGGATGCCGCCGAGTTGCAGGCCGGGGCTAGGCCGGCAGCGTCAGCTCCCAGCCCGGCCGCCCTAGCAGCGGGAAGACCAGATCTGGACTCCCGCAGATCCCGGGGGTGGACACCGCTGCCCGCCCATGGCTCCCCACCGGAGTCTCCCGTCGGCAACCCAGCAGGCGGCAGGGGGCCCGGGCTGGCCTACCTGGTAGACAGCGGAGCCCGCGTCGGGGGGCGACCCCACCGCTGCCACCGCTTCACCCCGGTAGCCGCGGGCTGGTGGGGTTGTTCTCAGCAGCTGCCAGCGGCCCAGCAGCCGCCGGGAGCCCAGCAGCATGGCGGCGCCGCGCGTCGAGCCGAGCCGAGCCGAGCCGGCAGTCCCAGGCCCGCGGCGCCACTCCCCCCCCCGCAGCCAATGGGCATCAGCGGGGCCGTGGGACCGGGCTTGGCTGCAGCGTCGTTACCTGCGGTGCCCCGTGCCGCCGGTCGCGGCTGTGACTGTGAGAACCGAACTCAACAACGCTAAAGGCTTTCCCTTTGCCGGTCGGCGACAGAGTACCGCAACCCCCCCCCCCCCCCCGGGCCCAGGCTGCAAGACAACGCTGAAGAACTTCCGTTGGAAGCCTTTTGTTCCCAGACGGGGTTACACATTTGTGCACCCCCGAAGAGCCCTAGCCCTTTTGTTACCTGCAGAACGGCTGAGATGCTACAGCAAGAGGGACAGATCATTTTTTTTTTTTTTTCTATTGTCCCTTGTGTGAAAGCTTTGCTGTTTTCCAGCATTCCAGTTTTATTTTGTATTTACACAGAGAAAGCAGTGTGAAGCCTGGTACAAAATCAATTAGGCTGTATGCTAAAACATAACCTCAAACCAGAGACACCCACCACATAACCCCTGTTCAAATGTACTTAGTCTGTTACCACCGCGTCCACCCCAGTGCTGCAGTCAGAGCTTCAGCCATCTACTTAGCCTACAGTTTCATTAACTTACTATACCTATGAGCATTTAAAAACTACAAATGATATTCCAAGAAAGGGATACAGAGGCAATATAAAATAATTTATTCACATGATTCATAGCAGAGAATATGACTACTTTCTTTGAAACAGATATAAGAAGCAATACAGGATGTTGGACAACTCTAAGCAAAGCAGTCTTATGCCACATCTTCACAGAAATGCTGAACTAATAGGGATTGAGATTTCTACCTGTTCTTACCTACTTCACCATTATAAAACTTTCATACACAAACAGAACACAAAGTGGTCTTTATTCAAATTAAATTTGTTCTTAAGGAAAAAAAAAATCCAAACAAATCCAAAACCCTCTAACAAAGTGCATGTGACTTACTGCAGGGGAAAAAAAATGTGCGTAGCCCAAACTAACAGGTAGATAAGGCACCTTAAATATTAGTCATGAAACTAATTGGGTGGTTTTTTTTATCTTATAATAAGAATGCAAGCTAAAATGTATAGAGCTAAATGTGGAATGGTTATCATTTCAAAGTATTTAGGGCAATTATTTTATAGTGACTCCCCACAAATCTGTTTTAGTCTCTTATAAGTGCAAGTGATTAAAACAAGCCACATGTATCTAGAATCTAATGCATACATAAAATAACATCTGCAAGATATACAATATATGGCCCTTTATGTATAGATAAATCTATGTCTTAACATTTACAAGTAAGACAATATTTAGATAAACATTTCAAGTTGTATGGATTAGGCAAAGGACAAGATACTATCTGAACAGAAACTGATGGTGATGGGTGATTTTGGGGTCTTTTGGATGGTGAGGGTGGGGTTGACAGTATGGTTTCAAGTAAGTTCACACTGGGACTGTTAGTCCCTTTTCCATCACTTCAGGAAGATACTGCTGCTAGACACATTTGATTGACAGATGCCTGCTAATGTAGCAAACTGCAGTAACAACAGCTTTTCCTCGTTGACAAAATTTCAAAGGTTCCTTCAGAAGCCTTGCTTTCTGAAAAGGCAAGCAGTCTCACAAGTACTAAAACTACTTACATGAAAATCTCTGCCAGTAAATGATTATCCAGTCCAAAGCTGAAGATAGGTTTGTTTGTTATGCTCCCTGAGAGCACACCACCACCATTTAAACATCAGTTTAGTAATAAATCATTTGTTTTGCAAAAGTACCTGCTGGTATGAAGTAACAGGAGAAAAATGTAGAGTACTTAATTCTCCACACTCATTTTTGTGTAAGAAGGAGTTTCAGAATAAATACTGATATGCGGGTGACCATCTCACTTTGAGACTGCATGAACCTTGTTGCCTCAACACGACAATCTTCTCGATGAAGCAAGTAAAAAATCATAAAGCTGCATCAGCATTTTATAGTGAGTTACAGCACAAGCAGGCATCCAACATGAAGAAAACCAAATTCTACTCCTTCAAAGTAGCAAATGCTCAAAGCAACCACATTATCTAATCATGGTTTAACTCCTATCACTTTGCACAAGGGAAACCAAGGAAGTCAGCAGACACACAAACACCTACAAATAAAACCAAGGAAAAGAAATGGTATTTATCCCCTTGTTTTCAGATTTAGAAGAAAATTAGCATTTGTATTAGGAAACATTAACCTCTTCCTCCCACTCCAATAGGACAGCCGCAAAGATTAATGCTGCATGGCATTTTTAATAAATTGTGTTTTTCCAGTTATTCTCAATAAATTTTTAAAGAACTAAAGCTATTTGGCTTTTCAGTTAGGATCTTTCAATTCATGTCATTAAAAACAATTATAAAAATACATCATTTGAAGATGTTAATAAAAATACCTGCAGTGCTGAACATAGAATCATAGAACAGTTAGGGTTGGAAAGGACCTTAAGATCATCTAGTTCCAACCCCCCTGCCGTGGGCAGAGACACCTTACGCTAAATCATATCACCCAATTTACTACGCTACTTCCAGTATTTGCATCTTTATCTACAGAGATTACCCTATAGATAAAAAGTTCATTCCTCCTTCTAACACACTAACATACTTCACAAAAAGAAGAACTTGCACAGCCAGTACCACAAGCTTTAGCATTAAAATTCAAAAGGATACTTGTCACAAAAATTAAGCATTTTTTCATTGCACATTGCATCCATTATCAGCATCTAAAGTGAAACTACAAGCTAGCAGGTGCTGCTCTGGTACAATGACATCAATGTAGACGTTTTAGATTATATCAACATTTTAAAAGTATCCAGGTTGCTTCAGAAGAAATACATTTCATCTTTATGGAATTAAAAACAGCTTAGCTGACATTAAGTGTGGCATAATCGACATAAGAACTTCAAAAAAATACTCTTTTCTTGCTGCATTACACTCTCAGATCCTAGGTTTTTATAAAGCTGACTTACTATTCTGAATCATCCACTTCCATAAAGATGTCACTGAAAAAATACTCAGAGATTCTGGTTGGTTCTTCCTCCTTCTCTTGATCTTTAGCACAAAGGGGTGGCTTCTCAGGTGGCTCGTTACTTGGAACCTAATACAAAAAGCTCTTGTTAACAGTCTTAATCTGTTCATGTGTATGTGTGTATGTATATATATATATACATACACACATATATATGCACTCAAGCTTCCAATTTAGATAGAAAGGTTAGAAAAAAAAAATAATCAGTGTTTACTGAATACAGGAAACACGTATTCATACCTGCAGTAAAAAACCAACTCACTTCCCTTTTCCAACACATGCACAAGTCACGATTTATTCACCAGGATAGGGATCTCAAAACACAAATACTATATATCACCTACCCACTCCTGAAATAACTAATTCACTGCTCTTCACATCTCAAAAATGCAAGGGCATTCAAAGGTAAACATATACCATAACTGCAGCATCAGCAGCTATATTCTCATACTCCACAGATGAGGATGTGCTTGTAGAGGGAAGAGAACAAGATTCCCCGTCATCCTTAGGAGATGGAGTGTGGTTTTTTAGGTTTCGCTTTGGAGTCACAAGCCGAGGTTTTGGGATCTTCCCTCTATTCCTTTTGGAATTTTCCGCGGTCTCAGAACCACTTTTTGTGCAAATTAAAGATAAAAATCCCAATGGTTTTCGTCCACGCCTGCTCAAAAAGAAGAAAATAAAATAGAGTCAGAATGTAATAGGATTACTCCATGAATGAAAGATATGTATATTATTAGAGGAGTCCAACTCATAACAAAGGAAACACACACCTCTGACATCTATGAAAAAAATCCAAGACACCCCCCCCCCAGGAAAAGTCATTCTGAGAAAGGCTTTTGGATTACAGAATATTCTGGCACAAGATGTTATGGAAGTGTTGCAGAGACACTCAACAATCTCCATCCCTGAGAACAGGAATGTACTATTTGCTACTAAAGCAGAACCTGTAACAAGCGACCATATCTTCAGAAAGAAGTTCCAAAAGGAACTGAGACATACTCCCAAAAAACAAACAGAAAAGAGCATCCTTTATGTATTCAATGGAAAAAGAAACCCGATTCCCAAGGATGGGGCCAGAGCAGACTGTCTGCTGCAGCCCATTACCAGCATCATACCCAGTAGTAGTACACTTACAGGTACACAGAATATCAGCTTTTTATGTTGTTAAAAGAGTTTACAATTTAGTAAACTTAAAGGCAAGGATTCTGATGTCAATGCATTGTCATCCCCATTGCTGTGGGGATCCCAGTACAAATAATCAGGTTTGGTTCTCACACAAGCATAACGAAAGAGTAAACAGCATGAGAAGAAACCAATAGAGCACCACAATCAACTTCAGGGAGCAACAGAGAGCAGGAACTCAAAACACTTAAGCATAGAAAAATATTTTGAAAACATCCACAATCAGATGGTTAAACAAAAGGAGTATTCTCTGAGCTGTCAAGACTGAAACTCCTCTGGGGATATGACACATCTTAAGTTAGTCCTAAAAATCCTGTGTGCTGAGAACCATACCAGTACCAAATGTTATTGGCAGAAAGACAAAAATAAAAACAAGTGGATGGGTGTATATATCACAACATTAGACTCAGCTCAGGAAATCAACAATTATTCTAAATCTGTATCACAGCCAACTGATGTCTGCCTCACCAGAGGCATCTGTCAGTGTCTAAAGTAGACATACCGTACTTCAGTAGTGTCCCTTGGTCAATCTGCTCACTTAAAATAATTCAAATTTCAAAGCAGACAATTTGTTCCTTTCTAATTTGCTGAGGAGGATAGATACTGTAACTCTAGCCATATACGTCATAAACAACGGTACTGCCCTTCTTGTAATACTAAGTGGAAAAAAGATATGAACCTCAATATGGAAAAATGGTCTTTTTACAGAAAAAGCCAAAGCATTGCATAAATACCTGACTAATGGAGTTTTTGAAGATGATGCTAGGCTTCCAGTATGTTCCACCTGTCCAGATTCATGCACTTCCACCTGCTTCCCTTGTTCATTTATTTCTGCTTTTCTGTTAGAAGACAATCTAGACACCACTTCCTCTTTTTCTCTGGATGATGAATTCTCAAGTGGTGCTATCCCCAAGTTCTCCAAAGTCTCAAGGTGGCTCCTGTCAGCCAGTGGTGACATAGATTTGGACACCAACACAGAGGCAGGTACTTTCTCTTTTGCTGAAGCCTCTGTCTTTTGAAAAGGATTCCCTGTAAAAGTAGTTGAGAGTCATTTAAAGACTCCTGTTACTTTAACACAACAACCCAAAAGACACATGTGATGTTAAGAAGGTTTTTACCATTACAAGAGAAGGGACAAATTTTTTAATTTTTTTCTTGCAATTTTATTTTCTGAGTCCCCACTAAAGATTAAAAGTTCATGCTCTACTTTTAAAGTTTGTAAGATCTTACAGATGTTATGGGGAAAAAGCTGGAAAAGCTGGTAGAAGCGTGGTTTTACACCACACGCACACACCCACCCTTTTCAGCATACCACTAGACTTAGTCAAGTCATCTAGCTGTTTAAGTTTCTACAATTACACCTTAAAGTCTTTACCGGGGCCAAAAAGCACTTTGCCAAACCCTTCACAGGCTCACTGAAGACTGCATTGTCAGCATTGCAGCTTTCTCTCTGATTCTTCAGAGGCAGACAAGATTTTCAAACAGTTATGTTTTTGTGCATATTTTTTTAAAAAGACAAAGTAAAATAAAAAAGGAATTATTGTGGTTAAAAAGTTAGTAGAGATAAAATATCAGTTAATGCCTGTGCTTACTAGCGCCCTCCAACAGGTGGAAATATTAATTTAAGAGAAGATACATTTAGCCCCCAAAGCCTCCCAAATTTCACAAACAGACTACCTACACAAACGTTTTTAGAACCATTATTAAATTAACAATTATATAATCCAACACACATAGTTCATAGCAAAAAATGCAGAATTGTGGTATTAGGGTAAACTTGTTCCTATTTTCATGTTAGATAGCCTCAGACAGGGCAATTCAGCACAGTAACAGCATTAAATTGTGATGTATTAAGCATTTCTATTCATTATACTTTGCTTTACAAGTTTAAATATACTTACCTGAAGTTACTGGAGCATTTGTGGATTTAATTGAGTCAGTCTGTATTTTAAAAAGAAAGAGAAAGGTTATTTGTCTTTTTTTCTCAATACAGAAGAGAAAATGAAAGCTGATACAGCCATATCACACATGCACAGTTCTAAGAACAGCAGTGATACAGAAGACTACATCTTCAGTACAGTGTCATTCATGACTTAACTCATTTCCTAAGCAGGCTTTTCAAGGTGTTACAACAAACAATTCAAGGCAAGGATATAAAGATGAGAGATCAACGAAAAGGCTTGTTATCCAGTCCCTCCCAGAAAAGCTCTCTGAATCATGCAGGGAATTTTCACCCATTCCTTCACCCAGATATACTGCACAATCTTAGCTTACTCACAAAAAGCAGTGGTAGTCACTGCTATAAGCTTGGGCATAGTCTAAATGAACAGAGGGAAGCTGGAAACATGCTGCCTAGTTTTTATTTGCAGCTTGTTCTTTTAAACTAATACTTGTGATGTTAAAAACAAGACAGGAATATATATCTAACGTCTTCATGAAGCAAGACACCATGAGGAATCACAACATTGTTCAGTGAACCCAGACAGTCTGCCAATCATTCTATAAAGATCCAGAGTTCCACCTCCTGCAGTGTCATTGTTGGAAAGGCTGTAGTGAATGAACCAAGACAGTCACATAACCAGTTTGCCTACTAGGAAGTCTAATAATAAATCCTGAGAACCTATAGATTCTCCAAAAAAATTGATACTATATTAACAGCCCCCAAACTGGTGTGAAGTTCAAAATAAAAAAATTAGCACTCACAGATTACTTTGTAAGTTGTACAGGCAGCTCATGTTTACACAAGTGACACCAATAAACAAAAAACATAATTAAGATGCTCTATTACATTTTATACATCTACACTTTGCATAAAGACTCATGTACCAAATTATGATCTCACCTCATAAGTGGTTTCCAAGTTATCTTCCACTACAACAGTAGAGAGAATTTTCTTGGCTGGAGGAAAGTCATTCTCTTCAAGGTCAGCAGCTGACCTTTTCTGAGTTGTCTGTAAATTTGGGACAGGCTCTACTGATGCACTCTCTAGTTGTTCAGTTTCCATACTGCTGTTTAAAGGTGCAGTAAATTCATGAGTTGTCGAAGATCCAATACCGTACACATAAGAAGTCATTACTATGGCTGTACAAAAGCCCAAGTTTACTTTGCATAACATTTCTGTATGGAAATTACACATGGATCTGTGTGATACTCTTTCTTGCTTTATATCTAATACTGATTTCAAATGTACTGTTTACTAACAAGAAACATTTTTCTGTGTTGATTACTTAATTAAGTTTTTCTAGTCATAATTCAATCTAATTACTTCTAGAAAGTGTTGTTTGAATTGTACTTGATATTTCAATAAGATGTAAAAATAAGACAAGTGATTAACTGCCCTAGGAGATGCTACAATACAGTATTATTTATACATACAGTTGAATCTTTACCCCCATGCTCCCACACTGTCCTCCACTCCCCAGTATGGTCTCAAAAGACAGCAAGTCATCTAGGGGAGCAGCAGACTAGGGAGATAGGGTAAAGCAGAAGGGACCAGTGAGACAGAAGATATACCCTAACTCTGCCTATTAGCAATTCTGTCTACTAGCAGTAGTTCCACAGGAGTTAGAATTCTTAACATTTTGTAGCCAAAATTCATAGTGTTGCCAGAATTCATTGTGTAGCCAACATTCACCCAAAGACATATCCTTTTAATAACTCAGGGAATGACATCAACATTTGATGTTACACAGCAAGGTATAGTGTTTTTTACAACTTTGCAACACTTCTTATTCTTCAGAAGGCCTTTTTCTCTTGATGTTGGGTTCTTCCCTCCCAAACTGACTGGGAGATTAAGTTCAACTGTAATGCTGAAATTGCAATTTTGTTATATTGCATTGAGGAGTACTACTTGCAAAAGAAAATCAAACCCTTTGTATTGTAGTTCTGCAAACCAGTTATTGTCCGGTTGAGTAATGAATTTGTTTGCTTTTTCAACATGGCACAAATTCAAGAGAGTATCTGAATTTATGTCCATGGTTTATCATGTTCTCTAGAACATTAAAAACTAAAAATCTACACTAAAAATCTGGAAGAGCAATTAATAAATACCTACTTTAGAAAACTGTTACAATAGTATAAAAGTGTGAACATGCTTAGATATTTCATTTCAATTACTTTTCATCCTAAGTATCCATGGCAGAATAGATTCAGACTGGACAAAAGGTTTTTGCTAAAAGGGAAGACTTTCTCTAAAGGGTAAATCAGAATTGAGATTGACACCAGAATCCCAGCTAACTAAAACACTAACTTCAAACTACTGATGGGATCTTTCTAAAATCTGATGGGAGCCCTTTCCACTTCCTTTTCTCTGCCAAAATTATTTCCTTTTTCCTCTCTTCTTTTGAGAAATTCTAATCTGTAATGCACATTTGAGAAACAAACAAGGTTCACAAAAAATACTTCACTTTACTCAAGAATAAAGCATTTACCTCTCTGCTTCAGTCACACTTGTTTTCCTTGGATTTATTGGGCTGATAAGTATTGGGGCTGGCAGTAATGGTTCTGAAGTTTGTTCCAGCAAAACAGATGCATCAAACTCTTTTGAATCAGCTGGGATTTCCACCAACGTTAAAATGAATGTGTGTTCCTCCTCTGGACATCTATGATCATTGCTCACTACTGTCATTTTTTCAGGGAAATAAAGAAATAATAAACATCTGTTACTCAAGTTTGAAATTACACTGTTCTCTTCATGCCTGCCCTACTCCGAGTAATTAAGTTTTAGGCACTCATTTCTCCACAGAAAAAGGCAGTGAGGATATTCTTGAGAAAATTCTTAGATGAGATACACATCATCACCCCCTGGAGCCTATTCATTGCAGTGGAATCCTGATTACTGTTCAGAATGAAGAATATTAACAATGCCTAGTAGCAATGGAGCTTTTTTAATGGATGTTCTGGCATTAAAGAACAATTTGCAGTTTAATTAAACTTGTGTAATGGTGGTCAAGTGGTCCTTTGTCTTTAATTGCAACTGCCAGGTATCCTTACTTCTTTAAGTGGCAGGAGTCTGCTGTTTTGATGGTAAACAAAAGGCTTTTTCCCCTTACTTCAGGCTTGCAGAAGAGGACCCGAGAAGTATAGTCTTGAATTTAATAAATGAAGAATATAAATGATTTAGTCAACAGATGGACATTAAAAGATAACTGCCAAGTGCCATCCATTAGAATGAATTTAAGGCGAGAATATTTGTAAAGTTTTCAAAAGACAGAAAGCAGTGCTGCACCATTACTTAAATCAGATTCTGTTCTTGACATAAAGCTGCTGTTATTTCAACCTCAACTCAACTTTGGTTCTTCATCTAATTAAAAATGATTTAAGATGCTCTGTCACAAGATCCTTGCAGTAACAGAGCATAACAATAGATATCTAAGAAGTATTAGCCCCATCTTTCACGCATGCTCAGGAGTTAAAAGTTTAGACTGCAGTTTCTATGTAAAGTACGTGTTCTGGGCTTTTGACACAGTGATTTTCCCATACCTCAGACAAGTACTGGTTCCAAAACAGCTCCATTTCAATCTGATCTAGGGAAAAGAAGCCATCACCTTCATTTCTTTCATCACATCTAATCAGTTAGGCATTAATCTGCTGACTCACTACAGCTAAAAGGAGGAAAGTCTGGTTGCCATCTTTTCCCCAATTCTTCTTCCTCCCCTGTCCCATACTTGCACAGTCCGTCCCTTGTACTCACACAACTCTGACACTTGACAACTCTACGGCTCACTAAACCAGTGGAAAACTACACAGGTTCTCTCACTCTGTGACATCCACCTTTTGATGGACAAGTGAGTCAGAGGCTCATAAAGCCTCTAACAACTGCTAAACCTAGCATGAGTTAAGCAGCAGGAGCTCACAGCAGGGAGGAGAGAGCAAGAAGTTTTTCTTTCACTGATATTTAAACTTAATGAAGTGCTATTCAAAAAGTTCACAAATTTGGTTTGTATCAACAAAATTTAGTAAGAGGCTCAGGAGGGGAATGCACTGGACTGTGGGTCACTGTCTTTGTTAATGAAATAAATTTTTCAATCATGTAAATGAGAATGTTTCTGGTTTTGTTTTTGTTTTTTTCTTCTTTGTGTAACCACAAGATACACCACTGTGGGCTTCTGCTAACTTAGAATATTGGCACATTATACCTGAAGTCTCTTCTGTTCTGCTTATCCATTGCTGTTGATCATTCTGAGCACAAGCTTTATTCTAGAAATAAACACAGTTGAAATAAAATGTTAATAAATCTGAGAAATAACTCTAGAGAACAGGAAAGAAACAAAGCATGTCAAATGCTGAAGAGCCAAAATATCTAATGACATCATCATAATTACATTTGTCAGTTTTTACTTCTAGCTACGGTAGGTTGAAGGATATTAGCCTTACAAGGACAAGAGACACTTGGGCAATATAAAAATTTATATGCAGCTCATTGTCTGTATTGATGGTTTGTCAAAATAAATTTATACTTCCTACAGCACAACTCTGTCAGAGATGACTCACACAATAAATTGCTCAGTGGCACTCAGAAAACAAATGCCACCAATCATTACAAAACCACCGAGTGCAGAAGAAAAACACCAAGCTCTGCAACTCATCCATCCCTTCCTTTTTATGGCATATACCTTTGCTAAATCCAGGTATACTCTACTGCAAGTAGCCTCTTCTCACACTCTCTGCCAGTCCTGTAAGACCCAAATCATTCTTGTACATTGTTCTACCATAAGATCACCTTGACACATCAACAGGTTGCACTGAATGAATAAAAGTCCTAAGTAACTTCTTCCATCAAAACTCTTTAAAAAACTGCCCCAAAATTTACTAGCATTTATTTATCACTTATTGCTGAAATGCTATAAACTAAGGCTTGCAAAGATTAACATTGTCCAAAAAATTAAGTTTGGTTATGCCTCTGTAAAAAAAAAAAAAAGTTTAATTCACCAGCTGTCTTCAAAATGTACCAGGTCTTTAAAATCAGATAGTACATTTTCATGGAAAACCTCTTCCTCTACAGGATTTCAGAAACTGGACAGTTCTAGACTGTAATTAAATGGAGTTCTTTACCTGAGGAAAGTTAATTGTGCACGTGTTGTGCTCAGAAAGATAAGGATTTTGCTCAGGAAGTCCATCCACAGAACTCTGATTTGGATAATCCTCTAGTCCAAGGCAAGATTTTTCAGGTGTTGGTGATGTAGTTCTTAATTCTTCTGATTTTCCATGAGCATCTCTCATCTCTTTTTCTATTCTGTAAGGTATGTATCTAGTTAATTTGAAATCAGTATGAGATGGTCTGTGCATGGGCTAAATTCTGTACAATTACATATTTAACATGAAGCTCATGCAGTTACAGAGAAACAGGTCACCTGTTTAAATATTAGATCATTCTACTGATGAGACTGCGTAATGCTTAAACAAGTCTAAATACACTATTTCAGAAAAAAGCCTCCCTAACATCACTAATTCAGATCTTATTAGGAAAAGCATGACCAAGCAGGAAGTCTTACAAGCTGATTAACATTTCTAAATTGATCAACTCCTTAACATTTCCTTTCAGAGGCAGTTTCACAGGAGACAATCAAGCAGCAAACTGATTACTAAGTTCTGAAACAGCAAACAGAAGTTAATGTTTTTGCCTCTAAGATCTGTAAGACAAGAGAGAAAACCTTAAAGTTAACAGTCTAACCTGCACACTTAAGTGCATAAACACACACAATATATGTAAGCATAGTTTCCGTAACAGACACATACTATATATGCACTTCAGCTGCATATTTTTAAGAGACTTCAGGAATAAAGCCAATATCTACTGATGATTCTTCCTACCTCTCAATTTTGTCTGCTTTCTTGTTAAGTTCCATACTTTGAGTTGCAAAGTCATGAAAAATTGGAGAATCACCTGCAGCTGGTCTGACCTGTTCTAGTTCCACCTTCTGCATTTCTGCAGTACCTCTCAGGGTTGTAGACTCTTAAGATACATAAGGATGAAAATTCAGTTAGTATTTTTTTTTGTGTGTGTGTGTATACATATATGTGCATATATCTACATTTATATTTTTATATATAAGCTTTTGTATATTAAAATGTGTATATATATAGATGCATATATATAAACACACTACAAAATTATTAACCCCAGGATAAAAAGTAGGCTTACCACTTTGAATTTGCTCTGGTTGTTCCACAAGTATATTTGTAGTAAGTGACTTCTGAATTATGTTGTCATTGGACATCGATACTCCAAAGGCTGGCTCAGGCTCCGAAAGCCCACCTCTTGTCAGTCTCAAACTACTCAACGTAGGCAAAGAGCTATCACTTTAAGTAAAAAGGAAAAACATCATCAATACAGTTCTTGATTTTTGACAGTGCAGAGAAGAGATAAGAGAGATGGAGTAGACAATGAAGAGCTGAAATACAGGCTGCAGAGGAGACAGAAGACTATTCGGCAAAATAAAATAGAAAGAGTATCTGGGAACTGGAAAAGTCAGGTATATTGTGAACTAGGATATTCCCTATCTACAGAGAAAAAAAAGTAATTGAGATATTTAAAAAACATGAAAAGATCAGAAATGTAACACCAATAACATAATAAAAGAACATAATAAAAATAACATAATAAAAGAACCACTGGATTTAAAATGATTTATCTTTGATTATAATTTTCAGAGGTGTATATTCTGATAGTTTGTCACACCAACCAACAAGTTAAACAGTCTTTTACATAGTACATGATCACCAGGAGATGATTTTTCTGAAAAGACGTTCCATCAAGCTGATTCAACATTCACAAATGCTTGAGCAAAGTTAAACACAAGCATTAAACCCCCCATAATGATAGAAGATGAACCAGTTCCTTGCCATCTCTGCACCAAATCTTTCATAAACATCGCACAGCAGCAGTGACACATACGCAATTTCCCTTGGCCTGATTAGCTGTACTTTAGGAAAATGAGCTTGGTAATTAACAGTGATCCATACCAACTAAGTCTGAATATTATTTTCTCCCCACCATGGTAAACTTAACTTCAGGAGTAAAGAACAAGTTCTACCTCCCCAAAGTTGTATACCAATGTCTCACAAAAGTCGTAAGAAAGAGACAAGAAGGGTTTTTCAGGTTACATACTGAATTATATAAACTGAGAAACCTTTGCTAAAGCAAGGCTGTTTGCAATTCAATGAAAATAAACCTAGCAGAAGTAAGCAATGTCAGAAGACTTCTCTCCCTAAAGAAAATAAGTAGTAATTTAACCTGGTATCTGTGGAATTTTTCTCAAAATATTCTTTGACATCTGTTCTTGTGCCAGTTCTCTGATTCTCTACATTAATGTTGCTTTCATCCTCAGAAGGGACCAATTCCTTGGTAGAAGTGTCCAAAGAAAGTAAATGCTGACTAGAAATTCTATCTTGTCTGGCGCAGGCAGAGCTACTGGCCACATACAACTCATCTTGAGTGGGTAACACGTGTGTTCGTTCTGGTTAGAACAAGAAACAGAATAGAAAAGCATAATTTAAAAGACTCAGGTTTGGCAATACATAAAGCTGTTTCAGTTACTGAACATCAAATCTTGTTTAACAAAGTCTGCATTCTCCAAAGATGCAAATTCAAATCCCAGGTAAATTCAGTCCTAAAGCCACACTTTTGACAGTAACAAGGCAGAAACTAGCATTCAAGCAATGAAAGCAGATCAATTCTAATTAGAAGACTATACAAAAAGAAGAGACTAAACTCAGGTAATTTCAGGTTGTAGCTAGTTAGCCAGAATAAGCTATCTTTCAGGTTAAAGGCCTGAAAAGATGACTGACAGGTATGGTCATTGAAGCCCGATTCCTTTCTTTTGTCCAGTTTGCATGACCAGCTTAATTCAAACATGTTCTTCCTAAACCAGGTCTCAGAAACACTTTTCCAGCAAGATGCCTTACTTTTTCTAGCCAAACTGCATTGCCTAGTCTCAATATGCATTACATTTTAGCAGGGCTAAAAGCCTCTTGACCTTGCTATGCAGCAACACACAGAAGAGCTACACAGTCACTGCTCTGTCCCTTCTTAGGTGGACTCAAAGTTCAAGCAAGGGTCTGTCCCATAAATCAAATCATACCTTCAGTGCTCGCTTTTAACTGGAACATTGGATCACCCATTGCAAGTAAAGTCATAGCAGCTTCAGTGCTTCCATCATTAATACCTGCAAAGTTGTTCATACGTGTTAAAAGTCACAAGCACATTAACCATAAATCCACTTATCTGTTTGATGTCACCATCAATATAATGAAGAATGCATTTTTTTTGAATTGTTGCCTTTCATGGATCAAGATGCTTGGAAAGAGACAGCACTTCTCATCCACTAAATTAGAATTACTGTAAAAAACCTGATCAGCAGCATTATTCCTTTTAATGGTGTACTGGGTACACATGGTAAGGTGTTGACAGCATGGGGGCTGCTCTGGACACAGCTGGTTCCAACTGACTCCATCATAAGACACAACCAAGCCTGCCAGCCAAGACAGTGGCACATTTGGGGAACACATTTCAGAAAGGGGAAAACATTGCACAGCAATGAAAAGTGAGGGGGAAAGTGTCAGAAACAGCCCTGAATAAGTCTTGTGGTTTAAGCCCAGGAGGTAACTCAGCACCATGCAGCCACTCACTCACAACCCCCCCTCCTTCTCCCTTCCCTCCAGGCAGGATGGGAAGGAGAAATGAAAGAATGTAAAACCCATGGGTTGAGATAAGCACAGGCCAGTAATTAAAGTAAAATATGAAACTACTACTGCTACTACTGATAATAAGGGAAAGGGGAGGGAATATAAAATTAAAAAGGGAAGGGAAAAAATACCATAATAACGTGATGCACAATGCAATTGCTCACCACCCACTGACCCAATCCAAGCAGTGATCTGGGCCTTCTGAGTGACTCCCCCAGTTTATATACTGGGCATGACATGCTGTGGTATGGAATACCCCTTTGGCTACTCTGGGTCAGGTGTCCTGTCTCTGCTCCCTCCTGGTTTCTTGTGCTCCTCCTCACTAGCAGAGCATGAGACTGAAAAGTCCTTGATCAGGGTAAGTGCTGCTCAGCAATAACTAAAACACTGGTGTGTTACCAGCATTGTTCTCAGACTGAAGCCAAAATACAGCCTTGTGCCAGCTAATAGGAAGGAGAAAAATAACCGTTAAAACTGAACCCAGGACAATAAGGAAGGAGGCAGAGGGGGTACTCCCATGTGTGGGAGCAGAGATCCTCCTGCAATCTGTGGAGGAGACCTTGATGGAACAGGTAGCTATTTCCCAAAGCAACTGTACTCCACAGAGGACCCATGATGGAGCAGACTTATCCTGAAGGCCTCTACCCTGTAGCAAGGACCCCACACTGGAGTAGACAAAGAGCCTGAGGAAGCAGAAGCAGCAGAGATTGTTAGGAACTGACTGTAAACCTCATTCCCCTTTGCCCTGCACTTCTTGGGGAAAAAGAGGCAGAAAAGTGGGAAATGAAGGTGTGAAGTTAAGCCTAAGACGGCAGGAAGAGAATGCTGCTTTTCAGTTTTGATCTGTTTCTCACCATCCTATTCTGTTTGGCAACAGATTAAATTAGTTTTTCCCAAGTTGAGTCATTTTGGTAAGTGGTCTTCATGTCTTTATCTCAACCCAGGAGATTTTTTGTTTTATTTTTCTCCCCTCATCCTGCTAAGGAAAAGGAGTGGAAAGCAGCTGGGTGGGAATTAGCAACAGTTTAATCACAGAAATCCTTAACCTATGGTGTTGATCCATATCCCAGTTTAGACTCCCAGTTCCTAATTCACTATCCAGAGTACATCTGTTTGCCTACCGCTAACTGGGCATATTCAAAAAGACATTTCCATCCTCTACAGCTATTATACTGAAATAAATTGAAAGAACAAAGTAGGCTTTCCCTCCTTCAAGTAAGACACTAGGTACACTCAATCTCCAGTGGAATCTAGCAAGATGTATTGAGAATGTATTTAAAATGTGAAAGCTATTCTAAAAATCAACAGATCCATAAGAGTTTGTAAAATCCCACATGGAAAGAATATTCGCTTCTGGAAGACTGATCACAGATATCACAGTCTTCATGCTATTTTACAGATTCAGGATATTAAGGTCAGAGACCATAGAGATGACAAAGCTACAAATCTGCCCAATCTTTGTCTCACTCAGTCACACATCAAGCAAGTGGCAAGTAAGCAACTTGTGGACAACTACCACAGCACAGGAAAGAGGTAGATGGGATACACAAAAGGCAATTCTGACCCTAGGAAACAGAACTTGGCAACACTTGGTCCCCCTGCTTGACAGAGAACAGTAAGAAAATAGTTTAAATCTTCTCCAAAACGTAAAAATATGTAGTATCTCACAAGCAGTTTTTTTTTAAATAAGATATATAAACCTGAAAACTTTCAGCAAGAATAACTACATATTGGTAACAAGTTAATGGGAAAGATATTAACAATATTGTTTCATATCTACCTTTGTCCACCCCTGGATTTTCATGTATGGTTGTTTCCTTAAATAAAAGAAAAACAGTATCAAAGTTCTAGATAAGATGAATGCACAATTTTAATTCAATTACACACTTAAATTACAGGTAAATTCTGTCCAAAGTTTATCCTGGCTTTGAACGGGTATTTTAAAGGCTAACAATATTCACTTACATAGTTTTTCCAAAGCCGTGTCCTTGTATCTGTACAGGACAGGCAAGAGTCTATTAAGCTATACTGTTACAAGCAGAGATGGCAATCAGGCACAGGCACTTTTATGTTCTACAAAACAACAACAAAAACATTCTTACTGCCATTGACATGCTTACTTTTTCCTCCCTCTGTACCACTTGATTGACAGATGCATGAGAGAGACTTTCAACATCAGGAGCCACCTGCACATCTGGTATATTCACAGGTATTTCCAGCTGTAAAAATAATTTAAAAAATATTTCAGTTCCTCAGCCCCAAAAGAAAATCTGTCAAATGCAAGTTTTTTTTATAAACTACATATAATTAGTACATCTTAAACATTTAGTGGGATCCTTCCCAAAAATCAAGTCTTACACTACACACTTCCTGATTTAAGAAATCAGCATTTGTATGAACTGGAGACAGTGCTGCTTGTAAGTAACTGGAAACATCAGATGACCTAAGACTTTGGGTTTAGTAGTTTATTATTCCACCAAACTAAGTTATGCAGCGGAGATCTTCCATGATGGCTGTTTACTTCAAATGGTTTTTGCTAGTTTTCATACTTTTCTGCTTTTTAAATCTTCAGGAAATTAAAAACCACTCAGCCTTTTTCCAAAGACAGATTAGGGAATACACACCTCCCTACTCCCCACCCCCCATTACTTTACCTATTTATTTTTTTTCTTCTTCTCCTTTAACACTGTATTTCCACTGAGAGCTTTAGACATTTGGTATTTTCAGAAACAAGGAACTGAAATTTGGCATAAAGGTTGCGGTATTTCTAGTGAGGTTCTTATGAAAAATACTGCTCAATCTGAATAGCTTTCAAAGGCTTGCACTTTATACAGATGCTTTCCACTGATCTATTTAAACTTGACAACAGCTGAGTCCTCAGGTATCTAACCATATTCCTTCCTTACTAGAACTCATGGCTCCTATGTGTTCAATCAGGAAACATATGTGATATATATTCCCCATCTCTGAAATGAAGGGATTCAGCAAAACTTTCTGTGCAGGAACTTTGCTGTCCATTACTGTTCTAGAGTCACCCTTTGACTGAGCTTTAAATTTTTTTACTCTTTCATCAGGAGAAAGAAACAGTGTGATAAATTCACTAGACAAAGATAAAAAAAAATTATAAAAAAAAAAATCAAGATTTCAATGAGAGAGGAAGATGACTCTTCCTCTTGTAAGCAAAAAGAACTGGAGTGGGTGAAAAGTAGTGATGAAAACCTGAGGCATGAGCTGGTCAGATAAACAGATTTGGAGAAAGCAAAAATAAAAAAAAAAAAAAAAAAAAAAAGCTGTCAAAGAAGACACGTCACTGAGATAAGACAGGCCAGAAGGGCCAAAAAATGCAAAGACAGGGAAAAAGAGTAGACAAACGTCTAAACCTTTGAATGCAATCCCTTTCAAGGGACTTGAACAGAGTTCCAGACTTCAATAATTCCCCAATAACAAGAAGTATGCCAGTTCCTCTCTAGTGACTGGTCTTAGTAGATGTGATACCAAGTCTTTCTACAGTCTAACAATCTTGAGTTCTATTCTAGTCTAACAGCATAATTAAAACATGGGCCTGCATTCTAGGCTTAAAGTTTCCAACTCTGCAAATTGCTCACAAAGAATAAAAACATGTAACTTTCAAAAATTGGACCTCAGACTGATGCAGTATTCTGTTCAAAACCATGTGCTAGGTAACATCCTTGCTACTCATTGCCATTATTAACAACTTGAACTAAACTGGGATAAACCCCAATTTTTATGAGATTGTATTAGAACAAAAGCTTTTTAAACAAGCGAAACAAAAGTACATATGCAGAACACAGCTACATGATACCTCGTCCATGGTTTCCTGTATCTGAACAGGAATAGGTTTTGGAGATCGAAGACCTTTAGGAACAAACGCTGGAGCTTTGTTTACTTCTTCTGGTGCAAAGCATTCATCTTCATCATCAGGCTCAAAGTCATCTGCCTCCTCCTCCTCCTCCTCTTCTTGAGAAGCCCGGAGGGTCACCAAGGTTATCTTTGAACTTTTGTGCTCCTTCCCAGATTTCTTTCTATGCACAGTTTTCAAACTTTTGCCTCTAGTAACACGCAGTTTAACGTCTTGCCTTTGATTCCCCTTCTCACTGCAATCAGCCTCACATTCAGAGGAAGGAGAGGCAGCAGTTCTTAGCTCAGAGATATGTTTTGGCAGCACTACCTGTTTTGATGGCCTCCTGGACTGCCTTCTAAAGCAAAGGACAAAAGCATGTTTAAAAAACAACAACGTCCAACACATTCCAAACAAAGGGATACTACAAATAAAAACAAACTCAATGAATAAAAAGGGACCACCGTGACCAGCAATACAATCTATTTACTTCCTAATGTAAAATGACAAAAATGCATTCACGTACTATTTAATCAGAAATCCTAATTTCTTCATGTATGCAAAAAATACTGATTATCAATCTGTATTAAGCAGTTTCAGAGCTTTGGAAAGCTGCACAATTAAATTTACAAGATACAGAATTCTTTGATTAGAAAAGCATGAATTCATTTTCATTTTGTGGGATGTGTAAGTCAAATGCTTTTTATCTCATGTGAATGTTTCCAGTTCTCTTTTGCTAAAGCTGTATTAGGAGCCCCAAACTGTCACACTTCAGCTGATCACACTAATGCCTAGAAACAAGAACTGTTAGGTAACTAATTATCTGCTCCAGTTTCTCAGACAGCAATCTCTTCCCTCATCAGTTGCTGTTTCCCTCCTCCAAATGATGAGCACCACCACTTTGAGTACCAAAAGTAATTCCAAACATCCCCCAAAACAACATCCTCCTTTGTAAACTGTTGTGGAGAGGAAACAAATAGCAGCAGAGGACATTTCCACAGACTTTGTTTAGACTAATCCCACAATCCTTGTGCCCCCAGCACTAGTACTACAATGTCTTCCCCTTTAAAATCAGTAATTTCTGTTGAAACCACAGGTGAACCTGGGATGGGCTGGCAGGAGTGCTGGCTGAGCCCATTTTGCAAGAGTGCAGGTAGGGTAAGAGACAGAGAGAAATCTGCATGCATTTGGTAGACCTCAGATGAAAGACAGTGACTGACATCCTGCATGCACTCATGTAACACTATGCAAAATAATGGCTAATAATTACATTTTGAAAACAAAAGCCAAAACCACTAAATTGAGCTTACAAGCAAAAATTAGTTGTTTTACCTTGTGAGATTGTCTGTTTTTTTTTCTCTTGAGGCAGAAAGCTGAGAATCTTCTTGTTCTACTTGACTCTCATTCTCTGATGATATCTTTGGAGACTGGAGTCTACTATCCAGCCTCATTCTCTTACAAGATTCTTCTCCAGCAGAGTGTGTAAAATCATGTTTTCTTGTAGTCTCTGAGAAGGATGCAGCTTCCACTATGTTACTAGATTTTAGCTGAATGGAGGAGACAATTATTGCCATATTAAGTGCCAAATTTTTAAACTGTTTTTGAGGCCAAAAAGATTAAAACAAATAAATTTAAGGTTCTTGAAAACATGTCCAGCTGTCATCTCTGACAGCTTAGGACATTTTTCCCCATCTTCTAGAATTTTGGGTTCTATAGCAGAAGCATCATTAGATGGTACTATCTATAATGCCAGTGCTGTGGTTTGCTAACAGATCAAGGACATGCTCAGCTTATTAAGAGCAGCAACTCTTCAGAAGCTAGAAAGAATAATAATTTTCTAAAACTACCTATTAAAGAAAAATCTGAAGGAAAGAAAAAAGTATTTTCTGCCCTAGGAACAAATTAGGAAGAAGAAACTACAACAGTTTACAGAATGGCATTTAAATACTAATCAAAACACACATACAGAAACATATCCCACTATATAAAAATCATCAGCAGGCACAGCCCTGCCAATTATGGCTACTGGGCTAAAATATGTTAACTGAAAGATTTTAGTCATCCATCTAGAAAATAAGGAACACCAGATAAACTTGATCCAAGTATTGCAACGTTAGACAAAGAAGCAACTAATTTGGCTAGGTTAGACCTGTTGAGCAAATTTAAGCAGAAGATCTGAACTTTGTTCACATACACTTCAACTTGTAAATATATGGATTTTAGGTAGTATCTGATGTTAGAGAGCTGCCTTAATTTCCATTGTTCAATTAATAACAGATATTAAATTAACTGGTAACAGTGTGGGCATGTATTTATGATAATGCAGACTTCTGACTATATGAACTGTAAAACTGAGGACAACAGCATACATTAAATGTTTTCACAGTTTTTCAAATTCTATGTCCATTTATTCAGCATCATTCCCAATAGTGAATTAAAAACAAAAAAAAATAGGACAAAAAAGGATCGTATTAAACTTTCGCAGTCATACACTGGATTTCTGCACCGCCTATGGTTCTTAGAACTTAAACACAAGAACTGAGGGATAAATTGGCTCAAAACACAAGATCAACACTTACCACTGACACACTTGGTTCTTCTAACACCAAACACTCTTCTGCATTTCTGTTATCAGAGTTGTCCTCTTCTCTGTTTTCACTTTCTTCAGGATAACCCCTTTTTCTAGTAACACTCGTTAGGTTTGGCCTTGAGCGCCAAAGGGATTCATTCACTTGACGCAACGGTTTTGCATCGCTCTGTTTACTTTCTTCTCCAGAACTTGGTTTATTGTTGGACCTACAAAAATATTTTTCAAATTCTACTTCTCAGGAACTACAAAACATACACTCTACAAGCTTGGCTTGCTATCAAATATTAGTACTTCCACCTAAAAATGAACTCAGGTTCATTTTTACAACTTTCATTTGTTTAGTTGGTGAAGAAAAAAAAAAGGAAGAAAAAAAACAATGTGAAAAGCAGGTAACTTGATTTTCTACAGTCCTGGGCCTTTCTGATTATTTTTGGAAAATCCTTTTTGAAGCAAAACAACATTAAGAATTTGTACTACCACTTTTAAACAGGATTAAATTCTTACATCTGCTCAAGCACATTCAGAGCAGCAAGACAGAAATCTTGGGCTTTTAAACTCTCATCTCAGGAAAGGACAAGCAGGAGGATCCAGGTAACTACAGATCAGTCCCTGGGAAAGTGATGGAACAACTAATCCTGGAAATCACTTTGACACAAAACCCGAGAAGGTCACTTAAGAATAGTCAGCATGGATTTACAATAGGAAAAACATGCTTAACCAGCCTGATAACCTTTAACGATTAAATGACTGGCTCAATAGATGAAGGAAGAAAACTACTACTACCAATAATTATAATGGGAAATAACAAGGGGAGAGAATATATAACTGAAAGGGGAAAAGGAAAACAATAACCAGCAGTGGCGGTGAGCAGTACAATTGCTTACTACCCACTGACTGATACCCAGCCCCATCCAAGCAGCCATCAGTTTATATACTGATGTGCTGTGGTATGGAATACCCCTTTGGCTACTTTGGGTCAAGTGTCCTGTCCCTGCTTCCTCCTGGCTTTTTGAGTCTCTCCTCACTGGCAGAGCATAAGATACTAAAAAGTCCTTGATCGGAGTAAGCATTACTTAGCAACAACTAGAAACATCAGTGTTATCAGCCTTGTCGTCAGGCTAAAGTCAAAAACACAGCACTGCACCAGCTACTAAGAAGGAGGAAAGTAACTCCTGAAGCTGAACCCAGGACAGGGACATGAAAAAGTATGGGCTGGATGCATCCCATTCTGGGCTGCAGCAGACAAGGGGGTGCACTGAAACTGACTGAATGGCTCGTCTTAGAGGTTTGTGATCAGTGGCCCACAAGCTAGTTAGAGACCAGTAACTAAGAGTGTACCCTATGGGTCAATGCTGTGTCCAATCCCTATCCTGTTTAGTATCTTCATTAATGATATAATTGATGGGGCAGAGCATACCCCCAGCAAATTTGCAGATTATACAGAACTGGGAGTAGTTGCTGATACACCAGAAGGTTGTGCTGCCATCCAGAAGGACACAGAGAGGCTGGAGAAATGGGCTGACAGGAATCTCCTGTAGTTCAACAAGGAGAAATGCAAAGTCGGCACCTGGGGAAGAACAACCCCAGGCACCAGGACATGCTGGGGGCCCCCCAGATGAAAAGCAGCAGGGTAGAGAAGAAACCCAGGAGCCCAGGTGCACACCAAATTGAATGTGAGCCAATAATGTGCCCTGGTTACAAAGGAGACTAATGGTATCCTGGGCTGCATTAGGAGAAGCATTGCCAGCAGACTGAGGGAGATGATCCTTACCCCACATGCAGTGCTGATGAGGCCACATCTGCACTACTTTGACCAGTTCTAGGCTCCCTGGTATGAGGCATGGAAATACTAGAGATGACCTGTCGAAGGGCCATAAAGATGCTGAAGGGCCTGAAGCATCTCTCCTGTGATGAAAAACTGAAAGAGTAGGGACAGTTCAGCCTGGAGATGGAGAAGGCTCAGGGGGATCTCTTCAATAGCTACGTAAAAACCTAAATGGAGGGTGCAGAGAGGATGGAGCTGGGCTCTTTCAGTGGTGCTCAGTGACAGGACCAGAGGCAACGGGCACAAACTGAAACACAAGAGGATCCTTCTGAACATCAGAAAATACCTTTCCACTGTAATTGAGCACTGGCACAGTTACCCATAGAGATTGTGGAGTCTCCGTCTTTGGCAATAATCAAAAGGCATTTGGGCAGGGTATTGGGCAACCAGCTGTAGATGGCCCTGTGTGAGCAGGTAATGTCTAGAGAACACTTCCAACCTCAACCATTCTGTTTAATTCTGCCATCACAGGAGCCATGAGGACTGTACAGCAAGGCCCTTTTCTTGTTAGCACAAAGACTCTTAGGTATGATTTCAGTGCAAGTTATGGAAGAGATTTTACACAGAGGCTCAGAGACAGATAGAAACGGGAAGCTAATTTCAGAAAATAGCAAAAGTAAATTGAGTTGAGGATGCTCTGTATCTGCTAAGATTGAACAAAATGTAGCTTATAACATAATCCAGAACTGTTACATCTAAATGGCACTATTTGCCTTGTATTGCACGTACATAAAAAGTATCCCCTTGACCAAAGAACCAGGACCCTGCACATTTTTGCATGAATTTCTCCTGCTGGAAAGATAAAGTGAAGACTTAGAATACATCTTAAACAGCAAGCCTATTTCATGTTATTCTACCTACCACTTGGCAATAGAAGTGATTGCAAAATGCACTGCTCAGTCTTTCTTTCAACAGTGCACATTTCTAGTTCATTGTACCCTAAGAACTGTACCCTGTCTGAGAAATCCAGGCAGCTAAACTGTGATTATTTGCTTCTGCGCTCTCCTGCAAAGTACCTTCTAAAAAGGAAAACAACCTTGAAAAGAAGTCTGTTAAAAACTCTTGTATTACCTAAGGATGCCACCTAGTGACCTTCATGGTGTTATCTAGTGCAGCTGAGAATCTAACACTTCAAAAAGCAAATGCTGAATGAAAACAACTGGACAAATAAAAAAAAAGCTCTTTAAAAACTTTTGTGTTATTTTGCCAACAAGAAACTTTACCTTTCTGAGGTATCCTGAATGCTTCCTATTGTATCTTCAGATAGCTGTTCTTGTTCTGCCTTATTGTGGCAGTTAGGTGGCATTTTAGAGGAACAGAGTGTTTCTGACTTCCTACTTTTAAGATTTATGTCTAGATTGCTATCCTTGGGCAAACTCCCCACAGACAGCAGTACTTCCATGTCATCCTTTGAGTTGAGGGGGAACAAACAAATAAACAAAAAAAACCCCAGAATTAGCACAATATATATCACCCGTAAAATAAAGCATTGCAAGTTATGATCAAGACCTCAACCTGAGCCAAAATTTCACTTGAAAACTTCCATGAGCAACAACCAAGGAGCTCAGAAGAAACCCAGCAACAGAAATATGACATGCAGGTAACCTCATGTATCATGAACATGACTGAAATTTCAAATTTTAAGTGAGATCTTTCAGATCTGGTAACAGAAATACACATATTACCAATGTGTTACTAACAGAATTTTAGAAGACTTCATATTAGAGTGCAAATATTAAACAAGCATGTATTCTTACTAGTCCAAAATGAATTTATGCACTTAAACAGCTTACTCGGATGTCCTACAAACAGCTGATGCAGAACCAATCATCAGAAAGCATAGTCAGAAATATCTGAAAGGATTCTCACTTTTGAGGAAGGAGGTTCCTCAGATTCTTCTGCCACAGGCAGATTTTCTCCTTTATTTGTTTCTTCCTCAACTGGAGCAGCAAGGGTTTGTGTCACTGGAGATTCTTTTTCCCTATAAGATCTTTTTAGGTTCGGTCTAATTCTTGGAAATGTTTTCCTTATGAGTTGTCCTGATCCCAGAGCACCCAGCTTGCCTTCTTGAGAAGTGGATTTTTCAGCACTAGTGAATTTAAAGCAAATAAACAAACCAAACCAAAATTATGTCACTTGACTTTGGCTGGGAGAGGACAAAACCAATTCTGAACTGATTAAGTTTGAATCAACAGTTATACAAAAGGGTTAGAAACTGATACACTGTTTTGTTTAAAATTGAGACAATTACCTTTTCAAATGCATACTTATTATTTTGGGCATTTATCATTAACATGCAAGGATGAATAAAAGGATTTCTTTGTCAAGGCATTTTTAATAATGCAAGAAAAGTTGCGTTGCTAACCATACCAACATTAAAGTATCTGCAGCCTAATAAATGCTTAAGAGCTTACTTTAACAAGCAGTAAAATAGAAGAGCACACTGAAATCAACAAAAGACACATCTCTCACATTTTGCACAATTTCTACGTGTTTCATGTATAATTGCTGTATATGCAAATACAAACTAAACGAAAGAAAAGCATGGTCCAAAAGAACTACGAGCTCATGCAGATCAACTATGTACCAGATAAAGAACGACAAGTAGTTCAGCTCAGCTAGAAGTGTGCTCTGAAAGCATGGGAAGAAGCTGTCTATAGGTGCTGAAAATTAAATGCTGGGGAAAGACAGATAACAAGGAACAAAGAACTGACATATGCAAAGGTATCTCATGCACCAGATAGAGGTTTCTCAAATGCAGTTTTGCACTCTAGCCTCACCTGTTTTGTTCACACAATGTGTTTCCAGAAATACAGGGCACCTGAGGTACCTCTTCCTGTTTCTGTTCCTCTTCGCTCAATACATCTGCTTGACACAATACAGCTTCATTTTTACCCTTTAACTTGCAATTAGGAAAAAAAAAAAAAAGCATGAAGAAAAAGACAATCAAGCAAGTTATTAAACCAAACTTGTATAAAAACATACAAACTACAGACCTCTGTGCTGTTTTACCAATCTGAATCAAAAAAAGAATCACATTTTATTTATTGAGGGTAATCTGCCTAAGCACATATTTCAATTTACAGACAAGCATGAACAGAAGACTTAGTCGTGGGCTACCTAGAATTAGGCTCTTAAATGTTATATGCACCCAAGCATTACGGGTTCTATTTAGCACAGCTCTATTTAGCGTTCAATCAACTCTGTGGAAACAAAACACTTTGGCAAATGGAAAAACCTTTTAAAACTGGACACTGCAGAGAATAGCACAGACACATACAAGCCACTATAACCTCATACTCATAAGGCTTTATTACCTTTATTTCTGTATTTGCCACACTAATTCCACAAATAAGCCAGTCAAACACATCCCTCAGCACTTCAGGTCCATGACAGCTTTATTAGTATCAAAGAGCATCAGACCTGCTGTGGTTCTACAGATTTCCATAGCACAGAGCAAATGTACATGCATGGTCCACAGGCCTAGAATAGCCAAAGCTGAACTGCAAACAACTACCTCAGCTAGGGGTTAGCTGACACTGGGGCACTAAGAGGTAAATTACAGATGCAATGCACTTGCACTCATCTCTGAGAACATCGCACATAAGTACTCCAAGCTAGGTCTACACAGGTGCAAGAACAAAACAGCTATAACCACTCAAAAAAGAAAAAAAAGGAGTCACTCTTAGAAAGCTTAGTTATGTTTGAGATCTAAAGTAAGTTTATGTAGTCATGCCTACACCACTGGCATGATTCATGAGCAACCCACAAAAGGGTTACAGAGATTTTATCATACCAGCATGGCTTTCAAGGATTTTAGAACCTTTTACAGTGCCTAGTAAAGTGTCTGTGGGGACACAGTATAGATGAATGACTCAGTTTACCTGTGTAAAGTAGACGAGTGTCAGGGCTGTTGTGGTGAAGCCAAAGCTTACCAAATCAGTAAGACTTAAAAAAAAAAAGGCAAAAAAAAAAAAGCAAGCCAACAAAAAAAAAACAACCACCACCAGGAAAAAGACTATCCTGTACCTTTGCTTGATATTCTATACTAGATTCCTCAATAGAGATTTGACTCATCCAAACAGGAAAGATAAAGAAGCTAATATTTCTGTATTGCAGTTATCATGAAAAATCACAACAGTCAGGTGAAGTTGCAGACAACTGGAAAAAGGGGAATACAACCCCCATTGTCAAGAAGGGGAAAACGGATGACTCAAGGAACCAGTCAGTCTCACCTCTGTGTCTGGCAAAATCTTGGAGCAGATTCTCCTGGAAGGCGTGCTAAGGCACATGAAAAACAACAAGGTGGCTCGTAACAGCCAGCATGGCTTCACTAAGGGGAAATCCTGCCTGACCGATTTGGTGGCCTTCTATGATGGGGCTACAGAACTGATGGACAGGGGTAGAACAGCTGATGTCATCTACCTGGACTTGTGCAAAGTGTGGGATTGAGTGTGCCCTCAGCAAATTTGCCGATGACACCAAGCTGTGTGGTTCAGTTGATACGCTGGAGGGAAGGAATGCCATCCAGAGGGACCTTGACATGCTTCTGAGGTGGGCTGATGCCAACCTCATGAAGTTTAACCATGCCAAGTGCAAGGTCCTACACCTGGGTCAGAGCAATTCCAGGCACAGCTACAGGTTGGGCAGAGAAAAGATTCAGAGTAGCCTTGTGGAGAAGGACTTGGGGGTGTTGGTTGATGAGAAACTTCACATGAGCCAGCTACAATGTGCACTCGCAGCCCAGAAAGCCAACTGTATCCTGGGCTGCATCAAAAGGAGCATGACCAGCAGGTCAAAGGAGGTGATCCTGCCCCTCTACTCTGCTCTTGTGAGACCTCACTTAGAGTATTGGGTGCAGTTGTGGTGTCCTCAACATAAAAAGGACATGGAACTGTTGGAACAAGTCCAGAGAAGGGCCACGAGGATGATCACGGGACTGGAGCACCTCCCATATGAAGACAGGCTGAGAAAGTTGGGGCTGTTCAGCCTGGAGAAGAGAAGGCTGCGTGGAGCCCTCATAGCCTTCCAGTATCTGATGGGGGCCTGTAAGGATGCTGGGAAGGGACTCTTTGTTAGGGACTATAGTGACAGAACAGGGGGTAACGGGTTCAAACTCAAACAGAGGAAGTTTAGATTGGATATAAGGCGGAAGTTCTTTACTGTAAAGTTGGTGAGGCACTGGAATGGGTTGCCCAAAGAAGTTGTGAGTGCTCCATCCTTGGTGGTGTTCAAGGCCAGGTTGGATAGAGCCCTGCGTGACATGGTTTAGTGTGAGGTGTCTGTGCCCCTGGCAGGGGGGCAGGACCTTGATGATCTTAAGAGGTCCTTTCCAACCCTAACTATTCTGATTCTAGGAATATAAAACACATTTTTATTCTAGTGTTTACGTTAAATGTGGCATACTCCTTTTCTCTCTAATGCAATCCAATCAAAATCAGATCTTATTCCGGAAGACAGTAATAGCATAAGTTGTAGACTTCACTGATTTCATCATATTGGATGGTTTTCAAGGATTAATACAGTGCCTTTCACAGTGCCTAGCACTGTGTCTGTTGAAGTACCTGCAATACCTCAACACACCAGGGTTTGGGGATTTTTTTTCATCTATTATAGTGTCTCAGCTTCAGGGAATGCAAGTTAGATATTCTAATTTAACTTCATAAAAATAGAACATGCAACTCGGAACCATCATTTTGAACACAAAGCACTTAAGACTTACAGTGAGAGTATTGGCAGACTCATCTTGCAATACTGACTGCTCTGCTTCAGGATTTTTCTCCATCTTCTTTTCTGATATTTGTAATTCCTTCCTTACAACAGCTCTTACCAAGTTTGGTTTGTACCTCTGGAATCTGCGCCGTACTAACTGGGCAGGTTGAAGAGGTGTTTGTTTACGTTCTCCAGTGCTATTTTTGCTATCAGTGCAAAGTCAAACAGAAAAAAAAAATCTGCAACTTAATTCAAAAGCACATTATTAGTAATCACAGGTTCATTGTACGTAAATATAAAATACAACTGAATTTTTAAAAGAAACCATGTAAAAATAAAGTTCTGCTGAGTTTAAGGTGCAAACACAAAACTTGGTTTCACTGTATATTTCTGTCCTGGGTTCAGCTAGTAGCAGCTATTTTTCCCTTTCTTAGTAGCTGCTGCAGTGCTGTGGTTTAGACTTTAGTCGAAATAACATGCGGATAACACACCAACGGTCTTAGCTGTTGCTCTGTAGTGTTTACTCTGATCAAGGACTTTTCATCATATGCTCTGCCAGTGAGGAGGGGCACAGGAAGCCAGGAGGAAGCAGGGATAGGACACCTAACCCAAACTAGCCAAAGGGGTATTCCATACCACAGCACTTCATGCCCAGTATATGAGCTGGGGGGAGCTACCCAGAAGGGCAGATCACTACTCAGGTTGGGGTGGGTATCTGTCAGCATGTGGGAAGCAATTGTATTGTGCAGCACTTGGGTTTATTATTTTCCTCTCCCCTTTTAGTTTTATATTCTCCCCCCTTGTTATTTCCCTTATCATTATTATTATTGGTGGCAGCAGTAGTGGTTTGTGTTATACCTTAGTTACTGGACTGTTCTTATCTGAACCCATGGGAGTTACAGTCTTTCAATTCTCCTCCCCGTCCCTCCAGGAGCCAGGGAAGAAGAAAGTCGGGTGGAGTGAGCAAGCAGGTGCACGGTGCTAAATTACCTCCTGGGCTTAAACCATGACAATTTCAAAGCACTGGTCTCCTACCAACTTCCACAACAGAATTAATTAACTTACTGGAGGCATTAACTTATTGTCTGCCTACTACTATAAAGCCAAAGCGATTTTCACATGGTTTCTCTCATACCAAACTAGTGTTTCTCTGCTTACAGAGAATTTAGTGTTTCAGATGATGAAACAGCTGTAAAATGAATGCTCACTAATTTAATGTTTAGCATAGAAGTAACTGGAATTTTAGTATCACTAGTGTCAAATCTATGAGAACTAAGATTTCATTCACTATTTTTATTAAATTTTGTTTGCCAGTTGGCAAATTTCCTTTTAAAATATTTCAATTGTGTAAGTTAAGAAACAAAAGTAGCTAAGCCCTTACTCTGCATTAGTGGCTGAGGTGTCATCTTGGCTAATTTTGGGTAGACATGACGTGAGTTCACCATCCTCCGATCCTGAAATTTTCTCTGGGGACTTACAGCTTGGGCTCTCAGAAACCTCACGAGAGCCAACAGACTTCTCCTTTCCTAAGAGTTCTAATGGTTGCAGGACTTGATGTTTCCCTGCATTCTGAAAAGAGTAAACACAAGCACCAGTATCATAACTAAACCAAAAGGAGACATTGCGATATCCACAAAGTCCAGTACTATATACTCCTGAAGTGTTCCCTGGAAAAAACCCTCTAACTTTTCACTAATAATTTCCTAGTCTTTCCAGGACAAACACAAATTTGTTTATTTAAAACAAAATAGACTGAAAACTAGATTTCTTCTCTGACACGTTCTATTAACTTTTCTTTCTTCCCTGTCAACTCTACAAGGCCACCTCAAGTCAGAAAGACATTTGGACACATAACAAGAGATACAGAATGGATGTAATCTTTTTCTCCTCACACACAACCAAGTAGAAAGTATAGTTTTCATGTGGAAAAATTTAGCTTTTGAAAAAATTGATTCAAAAAATATTAACTTTATATTGCTTAAATCATCAGTATTTAATTTCACAAACCCAAAAGTTCAAACATAACTAAAAAAGGGGAAAAAAGAAAAAAAGTGCCTTACATCTGTATCAGGAAGGATGCTACATTCACTGTCACACTGCACCAAACTTCCTTCCATGTAGGTATCTTCCTGTGATACACCTGTATTATTTACATCCAGCACTTTCTTTCTACTAGTTGCCATATTTAAATTTGGCTTTGGTCTCTGGAATTGACTCTTTAGTAACTGAACTGATGACACAACAGTTTTCTCCTCTTCCTTCTGAGGACTAGACTCCCTACAAAAACAAACAGAACAGCTGAAGGGATAGGACAACGGTGGTTCTCCAAGTCATGAATGACGTATGTATTTCTCTTCAATACAGAAGTATAAAAAAATTTTATCTTTCTTAAAGGAACAGTAAAGTTAATTATATTGCGAAAAAAAAATCCAATAAAAGTACTCTGAACACCATCAAAAACCTGTGTCTCTTACAAACAGGTGAGCAAAGATAAGTTAAAAAAAAGATGCCATTTCAGAAAAACCCACATGCATGATTTGACAGTATAAACATTTTAAAAATTACTTTATCTAATCATGTTTAAAACTTAGCAGTAGATTTACAGCACAGTTGTGGGTTTTACTTTGGCCTTTTTTTAAAGGACAATTTAATAAAAAAATAAACCCTTTACATAAACACATAGTGATGCACTGCTAGGACCAACATGGAGAAGTTAACTACAGGAACTGAACATCACACTCACAGTGTAAAGATCAAATTAATCTCCAAGGGCATACATATTTAGTGCTTTTGAGCTCTTGGGGGTTTGTTTGTTTAAGTTTAGTATTGTCTTGATTAAACATCTCATTATAGATATAGAACTTGTTTTAATGCTGAAGTTGAGAATACCTAGGGATATCAGTGGCTTATGAACCACTTCTCTCCATTTAAAAAATTACCTTACCTTGTACTGGAATCTGGAACCTGTTTCAAGGTATCTGCCAATCCCTTTTCACTTTCACAGCTTTCTGTTTCAGAGGACTTTTCCTGTATTGAGTTCATCTCAGAATCTGTAGAAACATCCCCATCTAACATCGCACTGCCTGGCTGAGTGTATTTATGACCTGTCACATCCTAAAAGGAGAAAGTTTCACCGTAAGATTGAAAGGATTGCTCAACCTCTCTTTTAGAGGAGCAAGTGGAAATGAAAAAGTTTATTTTAGTATCTCTTACAAAAACACTCTTGTGTCTCTTGCTTCCTGGGCATCCAATTAGACATTTTAAAAGTAAAAATTTGTTATTTTCCCATTAACTTTCTATCTGAAGTGGTCTCTTTCCCAAGAGTGCTCTTTTCTCTGAACTTCTCTTTTCAGATCTGGTATCACAGATACAACCAACTGAAATATAATCCATCTGTCCATGTAAAATACAACCCAAGTGCAATCATGAACAAATTTTATGACAATTCAGTTTATTCTGAAAGGATAAACAAAGCATGATAGGTCTATGCTTACAAATTGTGTGGTATGTACCCAGATCTTTGATACTAAAGGCTTCTACCTAGGACCTATCAAAACAGTGTGCCTAAGCAACCACTCAAGAAACTTACATTTTCAAGGCATGGATCATTGTTTTCATCCTTATGGTGTATCACACCTTTTTCTAGTTCTCCACTTTTAGTTTTCTCCTCTTCAGGAGCTTTTCCAGCTGTCAGGTCTTTTTGTCTTGCAACACTTCTTCCTAGATTTGGTTTTGGTCTTTGCAATCTGCCTCTCTTTAGAGATGCTGGTTTCAGCACACTCTGTTTGCCATCTTGTTGTAAACCAGCTGTTTCATTAGATCTGGAAAAATATGTTAGATCCATAATTACATACCACATATTGAAGTGAAAGAAGTCTTGGAGAAGTGGGTGGTTTTTTTCTCGTTTTTTTTTGTTTGGTTGGTTTTTTTTTTTGTTTTGGTTTTCTTTTTTTAAATCTAAAACAGAGCTATGCATTATCAACTTCATGAAACAATAAATTTAGAAGTGTATCTGCTAGAGACTGAAAAAGTACCTGACAAGTTTAAACTTATCTTTGCCCTGTTCTTTGGCTTTTCCCATTAGAGACAGGATACCACACCAGACAGCCCTTTTTCTGACATAACGGCTCTTCTTATATTCCTATCTGTCTAGAGGCAGATGGACCTAATTTAATGAAGGGTTAAAAAAATCACAAACATTCAGAAAATACATATATAGCTTCATAATCTTACTAATCTAAAAATATCGGACACACACTAGCCTCTTTTTAATCCCTTTCAAAACAACTTCTCCTGTAAAACATTTCTCCTGTTACACTACAGCTGCCACTTCTCCACGGGAAAGAAATATAAGAAACACTTCCTAACATGTGCATGAAAATGCCCATATGTTGAAATTCTTCCTATGTTTTTATGCTTTATGTTTGAGTGCTTAGCCACTGAAACTGACGCTTTTCAGTACTGAAGCTAGTAGAGACTTGTTTTAGCTTTCAAGGGACTTTTTTCTGCATTTATCACGATTGAAACCTCAGTTAAATGCTTTATTTAAAAAAAATTTAATCATATTAAAAAAAAAATTTCCATTCTTCCCTCAATTTGTGTTTTATTGCTGAAGTTTCTTCAGAAACTTCTCTAATTACAATAGTATGTAATACTTTCAGAAGTGAAAGGGATGATACATTGCTGGGGAGTAGCATGTCTTCTCATTTTTCACATACTTACTGAGGCACTGTCTCAAGGATTTTATCACCTTTTTCTGCAGCTTCTTCACTGGTAGCATCAGACCTATCACTCTGGTCAGTGCTCTAAATACAAATATAACATTAAGACATTAACTTTCTTACATTTGTAAAGTACAGCATTAAATAACAGACCAGGTAACTGTGACAGGATACAAAGTGGACTGCTTGTGACAGACACAGACAATTACAGGGGTACATTTCACATAGTCCAAAAGGTGCAGTAAAATCTGTATCAAACTAAAGCTGCATTTGCTGCAGGACCCGAAAGGTTATTGGCATCTACTGTTTGTGTGACAAGCTCCAGCTTAGCTGAGGCCTCTAAACAGTACCATGCTGTCAATGCACATTAGTAAGTGGCTGATTCCTGGTCATACTCAGAGGAAACAAAAAGAAATTAAAAGGATAACACTGCTGTTTTATCCACCAGCTTTTTAGCTAACACATTATCTCCAGCTAACTTACTCTATTAAATACCTTTTCAGTTTCCTCCTTAGGCTGTAGATGAGACACTGGCTCATTTCCTGCATCTTTTTCAGGCTCTTCTTTCTTTCCAGATGCTCTTGTAATATTAGGCTTAAATCTCTTTCGACACCCTCCAACTACTGCCTTTGCAATTACATTTTTTTCAGGCTCTCTGCACAAAGGATCCACAACAGTGACAGTTACTCCATAATATTCAAGCCTATGTAATATTCAATGACTTGCACAGCTTTCTTTAGTGTAACTGGGTTGTCTTTGGAAGGATTTGCACAAACTTATGCAAGTCTCCTCACAAGAGGACCAAACTTTCTTTAGTCTTACAGAGTGTGGAAACTCAGTTTATTAAAAAAATATAAAGTTATCACACAGGGGAGGAATCTAACTAGACTGCATACTGTAGGTGTTTTTGCGAGTGTCAGAAGCAGAGCTATTATCTGGCAACTGAGGCTAGGAGGAAGGCAAAGGCTCCTTATGAAGTTGGTACTTCCTAAAGTAATGATTTCCTCAACTTCCCAAAAAAATAAGCACAAGCCTTCTACCACAGTACCACTTGATACCATCCAACAAAATTCAAGAACACCACAGACTGTATGGGTAATGCAGCAATAACCTTAAAACAATTACATTACATCTTTTTGATATTAGAAGATATGCTACTGCTTAATGCAAAGACTGTCAAATAAACTCTGCTGCCTTTCAGTGGAATCTACTTTAAAATATTTGAAGGAAGCTTTACTGTCATTGTTACAGAGAGGTTAGCTTTTTTCTAAGCTTACTTAAGTTCTCCTTCTCATTCTCACATAAAATTTTAAATCTTGGCCAAAGCATTGCTACTCAAAAGTTATCATGATCTACCATCTAGTCCAGCATACTATGGTCAATTAGAACTGTATCCAAATTAAGTAAATGCAGGTTAAGCGCAAGTAAATTCAAGGAAAAACGATTTTACCTACATGATTTCAGATTGAGAATGGCTTTCTGATGTACTCTGCTTTTCATCTTGTCTATGTAAGTCATACACATCTTTGTTCTGAATAAAAAAAAAAAATACAGAAAGGAACTGATAAATGTAGGCTCTTTTCTGTAATGTAAAAAAAAGCAGAAACAAGAACAAGATCCACAAAATGGCTAAGGTCTGCAGGGTCCTCCGGACATGATTTGCTCACATAGGGCCATCTACAGCTGGCTGCCCTATACCCTGCCCAGATGCCTTCTGATTATTGCCAAAGATGGAGACTCCACAGTCTCTATGGGTAACTGTGCCAGTGCTCAATTACAGTGGAAAAGTATTTTCTGATGCTCAGAACGATCCTCTTGTGTTTCAGTTTGTGCCCACTGCCTCTGGTCCTGTCACTGGGCACCACTGAAAGAGCCCAGCTCCATCCTCTCTGCACCCTCCATTTAGGTTTTTACATAGCTATTGAAGAGATCCCCCTGAGCCTTCTCCATCTCCAGGCTGAATTATCACCACTCTTTCAGCCTTTCATCACAGGAGAGATGATATTAGTCTTCTTTGCAGCCACGACACATTGTTGGCTTATGTTCAATTTGGTGTGCACCTGGGCTCCTGGGTTTCTTTACCCTGCTGCTTTTCATCTGGGTGGCCCCCAGCATGTCCTGGTGCCTGGGGTTGTTCCTCCCCAGGTGCAGACTTTGCACTTCTCCTTGTTAAACTTCATGAGATTCCTGTCAGCCCATTTCTCCAGCCTCTCTGTGTCCTTCTGGATGGCAGCACAACCTTCTGGTGTATCAGCAACTACTCTCAGTTCCGTATAATCTGCAAATTTGTTGGTGGTATGCCCTGCTTCATCATCCAGATCATGAGAGATGCGTATGTGGCATTATAAACAAAAACAGATTGGAAAAGATAACCAGGAACATCATAAACATGAACAGAAGAAATGGCACAATGAAAGTATAGTTCTATCAAACTACAAGCCATCATCTTAAAACTATCCAAAAAACACATTTTTAAATTAATAATTAAAGGAATGAACTTTAGCATTCAATTCACCACAAAGGTACAGATTTATGCAGTAAAGCAGCTAGACAAACTCACAAGCAGGAGGTGCATCAAGGACTTGAAAAGATGCCAGACGCAATTTCAGAAGGTTCCTAAACTGTTGGACCTGATTAGACCGTACTCAAACAAAGATCATTCAGTCTTGGTCTGGTTTCCTAGATCTTTTCTGAAACACCTCAAGGCAGCCAGTACCAGTGGACAAGTTTACACAGGTTTCCATCCTGATCTAGCATGAACAACACAACAGCTCAACCTTCTCAAAACAGTTCACAATCCTGTGCTAGTAAGTGTAAGGTAAAACTTGCTCTGAAGTTTTACTGTTGATATTATATTGCTTCACTTGTGAGTAATTAAACTATTCAGCTGTTTAAATTGTCTATGAGATAAGCCAAGCATGCACAGATGCTCTCTGAATAAATGCAGTGCAACAGATAACCCAGTAAAGCCAACCAAATTGGTAGCATTTGAATTTTGGTGATGTTCTCACACTTGTTGCCTTTTTCTGCCTAGTGGTAAAACCACCACTAAGCCAGTCAAAAATAATATAAAAAAACAACTTTGACTTACAAAAACACTTTAATGGTTGAGACGAATTGCTTAAGAAGTAAAAACTACATTAAAAAAAAAAAAGGAGATACATACCTTTGTTTCTCTAGTTTCTTCAGATTGTCCTTCTTTGCTTCTGATCTTTGAAACTGGTAAGTCTGAAATCTGGCTTTCTTGTGATACATCATCTCTAATATCTAGGGTTCTCAGTTTAGCAGGTTCCATTTCTAGTGTAACATCATTGCTATCTTCAAAGCTGAAGTCAATAAAAGCACACAAAACCGTATTAGTGTATTTTAATTAAAAAAGCATTATTCTTTACAAATCGGTCAGGTTGCATAAAAATTACACAAATTTGACATAAATAACGTGTTTCAGAATATATGCAAAATTTTTGTAATATTTCCAAGATATGAGCTTAAAAATAACTTTTGTAGTACTATTACAAGATGTTAAAATCCCATCTGATTATTAGAACAGACTTTAATATAAACTGTATGTAGAAACTTTTTTTTCTGATTTTCTGTAACAATCTATATTGAGTTCAAAGACACATCTGTCCCTTCGAATGATTCCAATCAAGTATTAAAGCACATAAAATTTTCTGGGAATCTGCATGAAATAACAAATAGTACAACACAGCTAAATACAACAACTGACACATTAAATTCTGAAGCAGCAGTAACAGCTTCATAATGACTTTTTAGATTTACCACTTCCGTATATAATAAGCTTAATAAACATTCACCAAGTGAATAAACATTACTCCTTCTAGTAAGAGAATGCCCGAAATTGAAACCAAAAGCTTGCCCCCCGCCACGTTCTGCAAAAATAAAATCCAAGCAACATACTTTTCCTACAAGAACCATGTTATTACAAACAGACATAAATTCCAAGTGTATAGCAGTATTACTTAGCAACATTACCAAGGAGCACTTTGAAAGAAATATTAGGAGTTAGGATAAGCTAATAGCCTCCATGAACACACAAAAAAGTGAAGCAGTTTTGGATGGGATTTTAGTATTAACATAAATCAATTTTACAAGGGCAGCCCATCAGGGAACACTGAAAGTGTAAAGTAAAAACAGTTTACAAAACCCCAAGAATAATCCTCAAAAACAAAAAAACCCTGCCCATTCTGTGCCAGTTAGAATGATGATAAGCATGAATGATGATAAGCATGAATAAAACCAATATTAAAACTCTGAACTATTCTTATTTTGCCTAAGCTTTTAAGATTTTAAAACATCACCCAAGATTTTAAACATTACCTGTGTAAGTTGACATCACTTTCTCTCTCCATTATGTCATCCACTGGTAAACAGGACTCTGATCCCTCTTCCTCTGTAACAGCAGTCTCATCTCGTTTTCCTTCTGTAACATTGTTCAGTTCTTCTCTACAGGTAGCATGATCATCCTTGTTTGCATCACATACCACACTTTTTTCTGCTGCTGAATAATAATGAAACCAATTTGGACATTCTGGGCAAATCTTACAATTCCAATTCTCAAATCCTAGCTACAACAAAGCAAGAGTTACTTTAAGAGAAAAAAATTCCAGCAGAAAATGCTTAAGTATTAAGATGTAAGAGAACTGTTCTCAGCTAAAATAAAGTATGTTTAGACTTAGCATGAAAGCTGATTTTGAAAGGCATTGTTCCACAACCTCCCAACATTGATCAAAACTCAAGTTCTTATTTTTTTAAGTTTGCAATGTTTTTATGTAAAATTTGTATTTGAATATTTGAAAGTGAGCATTTTTGCCTCTTACTTTTCTTAGAGGACTTCCCTTCAGCAATTTTTGGAGGGACAGCCATTTCTTCTGGAAGATTCTCCCCTTCCTGTTCAAGATCATCTTTTTTCTTCTTCTTCCTCTTCTTTTTTGCTAACACTGGCTCTAATGCAACCTGTTCTTCTGCCTGTTCAGAAATGCCCAACGATTCCTCATTTTCTTTCTCAGCCACCACAGCATCAGAAATTCTGGCTTCATGAGAACCATCTTGATCAGCAGCAGCTTCTGTGCTGGCAGCTTTTGCTCCTGAGACAAAATAGTTCCTGTTTAATACTGGTGAAGTATTATGCAACCTAACTAGCAAAGATATTTCCACTAGCAACATCTTGTTAATTCATACAACACTGCACATATACTGCCAGGAAAATGAGCAGGACCATAAAAAGCCAGTCACCGACTTACCAGAAAAGCTTCAGCATAGATTAACTGCAACACTAAACACATTCTGCACATGGGACAACACTTCACCAGGGTAGTCAATATAAGATATAAAGCCAATTTAGTAAATGTTTTTGTTCCTATCCTTTTTAGCAAGTTGCACAGACACCACAAAAAGCAGGTACTGCTATTCCTGAAAAGAACTGTGCCTCTTCAGAAAGAAGTGATGATAGCTGCAGAAAGTATGCCATGAAAAAGCAATTCTAATCATTTAAATTTTTAATCAATAAATGTATAGTAGTTAATAATTTCTTATTTATATAAGAAAGATATATTATTATCTAGTTAATAATTCACAAATTTTCTTCTGGGTTTAACAACTTTCTAAATTTCTCCTCCCTCTCCTTTTCAGGATATTTTGTCTTCATCTTATATTTATGCAGAACATCAACCACCAAGAACCTTTCCCTATTCTTACACAAACTATTTCCCCTGTAATTAAAAAATCTAAAATGCAAGAGAAGTAGAAAGGCATACTCACATTCCTTTACACATAAAGTACTTTTAATCTACCACTGAAGTCTACAAACAGGATTCTGTATGTGGCTCTAAATCCTAACAGGTGGAATATTTTACTTAATCAAATCTGAAATCAAGAAAAGCAGCAACTATGTCAATGTTAACACTTAAAAAGCAATGTAGCTTCCTAGCAAGCATCCCCTTTAAAAACGTTATTCACTTGTTTGTTCCACAATACCACTTATGAAGAAAATGGGTCCCTGTGGAACAAACAAATGAACAACCTCACAGAATTAGCAGGGAATTTATGAAATGGTGTCACTGTAACTGTTTCTAATTTAGGCACATCTCCGAAAGATCCCTTAGAAAGTACTGAGGTAATACAACACTATATGGTGATCAACAGTAACTAAACAAAATCTTTACCCTTTATTTTGAACAGACCAGAAAACCAAGACAACTCTTACAAGACTTCTTGAAAAGAATCACACCATTCAGACTCAGGGAGTCAAACTATAATTAAAGGAGAAACAGAACCACTAAAAGAAGAGAGCTTAAAAAGTAAGAAAAATTTAAATTAAAAGTCACAAAAGAGCTTGCCAAATACAGTTTAAGCCCAAGGATTCTAGAAGTGAATTTGTTAGCAACTCATGAAGACACTTATCAACTGTTAAATTAGAATATCCTGTTTAGAATATCAGTGCTTCAGACTGTGGAAGAGAACTGATTTCAGGGTGGTCTCAAATGCCTGTCCAGAGAAAAAACTCATCTCAGGAAACAGGCTGCTACCAGTCATCATCATCTCACACATCAATAAACTACATCTGAAAAAGTTTCTCTATGTAGCCAGGATCCTCTTGCCCTCTCTGCAACAGGGTACAGAAAGATTCCCCGTGTGATTTTTCCCCTGCTGGCAACAAATTACTGACCACTGCTCTGTGAATGCTATCTGAAGCATTCTTTTGATGTACCTTCTGGCTTCTTTCGAGGCCTTGGAGGCTTCTTCTCCCTTGCCTTCTGGCTTTTAACAGTCTTATGCTTCCTCTTTTCCTCATCTGCTAAGACCTTCTCAAGCAACTGGGCAAAGAATTCAAAGTCAAAAGGCCGCTTCTCTTCTATAAGATTAAAGCAAACAAACAAAAAATATTTCAAAGTTGATAATTTTTTCAAGTTTCTGCTTTGTAAAATAATCAGCGGTACATGTTACGATGCTAAACAGCAAAGGTTATATAAATTTAAACAAAATTCTTTCTTAAAATAATTTCTGTATCACTTGAGCAGGGTCTAGAGTTGACATATATATGGATTATGATAGCTTGGTTTTGAAAACAAATAGTAATAAGGTTACAGTACTTAGTAGTTTAGAAAACTGAAGAAGTGATGATACAATACACAAATTGTGCTATAATGTCAAATAATGTATTAACATGCTGCTCTAGGACTTATGTATGAAAAAACCACTACAATTTAATGACTCATTGTAGGGTGGGGTACATTTACTTTACTTACTGAAAGCTTTGTCTATCCTCCATCCATTAGCTTTTTCCTCACGTTTGAACTTGTTCTAAAAGCAAAAGTATAACTGTCCTTTTTAGTAACATTATATTGTACAAAATGGCAGATCAAGATAAGCTTTCAATGCAACAAATTTCCTACCAACTAGAATTGTTAAATTTACAAGCACACTCACAGAATACAAGTTTGTAATTAATTTTACATTTAAAATCTGTCACCAATAGGTAACACCAGTCATTTTTTTATTATTATTTTCAACATTTTTGTTCTTACTTCACATCTAAGCAGGGTCTGAAATATCAAAGATTTTCCCAGCTGGAGACCATGAAAGAGGCCACACAGACAACCCTCACCAAACACCCAATTATGTTTATTAGCATTCTTCAATTAAAAGAAGATAGAGACAAACTGTGTCTAGGTACACTACATTCACTGAATATTGACTGGAATTCAGCTCAGCATATTAATGTTTCAGATACTTAATACCTCTTGGGAACAGGTATTGATGAAAGCATTGCTATAGATCCAACTTAACATCAAAATTATCAATACTAATAGAGGAAGCATAGGAATAACAAATGAGAAAAAAGCAAAAACAAACATTTACTTGCTTTACTGAGTGCTTTAATTTTTACCTTAATTTCTGCTCTGTCTCTATGAGGGAACAGCCTTCCAATCAAGGAGAAGTCTGTTCCTACCATACTGATTGCTAAAAAGAACATGTCTGTTTCTGGAGTGAGGGGAAAAAAAAAAGAAAGAAGATTCACACACTTAACTATTTAGTTAACCATCCTTCTGGCTACCCAAAATAAAATCACCAAACTTAATGCAACCAGGTTGGTAACTTTAAGGATATCTACTCTTGCTGCAAGTTCAGCTCAGCTGGAATATGTGTATTATTTCACCTAAGTACTTCTAATAATGTATCTAATAACATTGCTGACTGGCCTTTTAACAAAAGAACTATCTAATCTGTTATAAAACTGCAGAACATGAAAAGAGAATCCAAAATCTGAAATTTCTTCTGATAAGGCAGACTGGATTTCCACAGTGTCTAAACATCCATGACAGAAGGAAATCAGAGACAGCCTTCATGTCACAAGGCATTGTTTTTTTTTTTAAAAAGGCCAGTTTTCACAGGAAGCGTCAGAGCTCTGCTTATTCTAAGCATTTGTAGGGTTGAGACTACGTCACGCAAACAGATTCATTTACTCCACTAGAAATAAAAATTGCTGAGTACAAAGCATAGATGGAAAAATAAGATTTTTTTGCAGACTCAAAACTTGGAAACCAAAACACGCTCACCTTTATTTGACCACGGTTTTGTGTAACAACTTCTCCTGAAGCTAGAATATGTAGTTGTAGAACCACGTTCAAAGATGGGGTCATTTTCTTCAACAACACATGGACCTTTTGTTCTTAGAACTTCTACAGTTAAACTGGAAAAGCAAACACACACAGAGATTTATCTGAAAACAATGCTAACAAGACACATAGTAGATGTTTACAGGCCAGCCACAAGTCAGTGTTTGTACTGTGTAATCAGGTTTAATAATTACATTAACATGCATTTAATGAGACAATGCAGCAAAAAATCATTATCCTAGCCCAGCCTGTACACATAAATATGATTTTTGTAAGCTACAGTATAGACAGGCATAATTAACTTAAATAAAAGAAAAATGCTGTCTTTTTAACATTCAAGAAAATTTGCAAAACCACAAGACCCTCTCCATATCCTTTTCAAATACGTTCGAATTTTTTTACCAGGACTGCTCTATCCTTGGGCTACATCCCATGCTAATAATACATTTGGGGAACTCAATAATTTGATAATCATTACTTAAAAAAAAAGCCATATTCTAAGCTAAATTACTGAAAAGATTAATAAATCTCTATATAAATATAAAAAGCAGCAACATGCAAGATGCAAAGCTGGAGCAAGTCATACTGACAGCCAAATAATAGTAAGCAGACACACATACTGTGAGAAAAAAAAAGAAAGTTAACTAAAAAGAAGGCATTCAGAAGTTTGACGAATATTCAGTATTTGTTCACTATAACAAAATATGACATCTTCCCCTCCATCTCCTTCTCCAAAAAACAGTTCTCATAGAGAAAGTCTGCACAACTACAGCTCATATTTTGTCACATGTTTGTACTGCTTCCTAAGCTAGGAGAGATCAGCTCTCAGCATTTGTCCCCATCCAAAGTAACTGTTCTCTATTCACAAACTAAGCAGCAATGTACTGTATATTGTGCATGAATCAGGCACAGAATTTGTTACCTTTCTTCATCCAGAATAATTGAACCATCTTCTGCTACTTTCACACGAGGAACTAGAAGTGAACCATCCTGACTCTCCTCCCCATTCTCTATTTCATCATCCTCCTCCTCATCTTCATGATCAGCAGTACTTTTCTCTTCCTGTCTAAAATTTTAATAGATGAAGCAAAAATATTAGTTTTGTTAGTATTTTGAATTGCTGCTCTGTATGCCAGACATTTAACACTTTAATGAACCACCCAGAAATTCAAGCCATCAGCAAGTTAGTGAGTACATGAACTCTAGAATCTGCTTTTATTCTACTGTAAAATGGACAAATTCAAAGCCACAATACTGAAAGCAAAATGCTCTTTAACCACCCTCCCCTCCCAAACTGCAAATTCTTATAAATATGGGCTGTGATATTGAAACAGTAAAAAAAACCCAACCAAACCCCAGAAAACAAACAAAAGAAACTCACAAAAAAAAAACCATCCTTACTATCACCACAGAAACATGGGGTTTAACATCAGAAAATTTTTTGATTATGACTATTTCCATCACCAACTTACTCTTTCATTTGACTTTGTGCAGAGCTTTTTTCTGTTCTATTTTCTTCTGCCACTGAAGATCTAGAATTTTATAAAAAGGTAGAGACGTTTGTACAGATAGATTTCTGCTTCATTCCACAAAATCTGCTTTATTGGGTAATAGACAAAGAAACACAAAGGTTTTTTTCAATTCTTTGTACCACATCTAGACTTAGGTCTAATTGAAAACCACCACTGCTCAATGAATTTTGTGGGTTTTTTTTTTGTATAAGCAAGGACAAAAAAAAGATATTTCAAGCTGTAACCCACTGTAAAGGTACAGAGAATGTGAGAGCATCTGGTTCATTACCTGCTTAAGGATTCTTCAGTCTAAAACAAACAAACAAACCCCATAAAACAAGGGAAGTGATAAATACAGAAGCATGGAAACATTAACAAATAGGTGGTAACAGACAATACCAGAAAACTGATCTGCTACTGAAAGGACTTAGATAGCTGTACTTGTGTTTATGTGACTTTTTTTGGTAGACACAGCAAAAAGGCCCTGCTCTGCCTGTGGCAGTCTGTGCAAGCCAGCTATATTCGTATTCCCTGCGTATATGCACTTCTGGATTCTCACTCAGCCTTGCTACTAGCAAAACCTGCAAAGGGAACAGTAGCAGCTATATCCATCCAGCTGGAATGGAAAGACCTCAGGGGTCTTATGTGCATTTTGCACTTCATCACCTGGGACGGAGAAATGCTTAGCTTCCTGCAGTCCACTAGATTGGGCAGGCAGTCATAACATCCCTTAGAGCCATAGCTAAAAGTTTAACAGCAGCTAATAAAATAAAACAAAAAAAACAACCAAAAACCAACAAAACACAAAAATAATCCACAAATAAAACACAAACAAAAACCCACAAAAATATTTCTGTTATTCTGCATTTGCAGAGATAAATCAACACTGGAGACAGGTTCATGTTTTCATATTTCAGTAAGTATGCTAATCTCCATTCTTATTTTTGTGTGAAGACCAAGTATGTGTGCAAATGTCTTAAAGCTTTTGTTACAATACTGCACCTAATACTCCAGATTTAAGAATTCTCAATTTCACATTAAATTGGTAGAAAAAAGAAAAATCATTTAACCTAGGGAAACAGAAAATGGTCATACTTACTTCATAGGATTGTTTTCTGGCAGATAGTATATCAAGTCTCTCATGGTCATTTTAGAACGATCTGGTGGAGAACGCCCCTCAATTATTGGAGGCTTCTGTTTCAACTGTTTCCACATAACAAGATAAAAATGCCCTTAAATTCACACTGAAAGCACTTTTCTGTTTTACAAATGAATATTTTTATTTATTTACAGAGCACCCCATTCAAGGAGGTTTGTTGTTCCTCCCCTCCCTCCAACGTTATCTTAAAAGTCAGAGAGAACACCTCTGACTTAAGTAACTTACCCTCTCAAGAGAAATTTAATACTTGGCACAAGTGAAAAGTTATTAAAAATTACAGACTTTGGCCAAAAATAGAGTTGAAAAGATATGAGGAACCCCAAATACCCAGCTTTTAAATCATGTTTTCCAATTGTATTACCAACTGTAAAACTTAGAACTGCAGGTCTCATGCAAAAAAAGGCTTATGGGGATAATCAAAAGATATATATAATTCCCGTATTATGAGTGAATACAGTTCTACTACTGCTTATAAACAGACTACATACACCTGTAAGAACACAGACTATTAGCAGTATGCAACTAATGAGTACCAGAAAACGCCTCTGCAAAGAGATAACATATGTTAGGTGCATCACACATTTGCCCTTCACAGATGAGCACTACTGAACACAGAGGCCTACCATCCGCTCTTTCTTCAGCTCTTCTTTAAGCATTTCTCTTAACTTCTGAGCTTTGAGGACCCTTTCACGGTCAGAACATACTCGTTTCTCTTTTAAACGAGCAGGTTTCACAGGTAACTTCTCCTGTGTTCCTGATCTTTCCTGTGTTGGTCCCTCCTTGAGTGGGGAGGGTACATTCTTCTGCAAGGTATCATCATTTTTTTGAGCAGTTACATCTACAGTTTGCTCTTCATTTGCTGATTTATTTAGTGGGGAATTCTGTGGCACTTGTGGTACAGGTATTTTCTTTTCGGGCAGCATAAGGGACTCTAAAGAGCTTTCAATATTACTCTCTTCTGACGGAGAGGAATCTTTCTGAAATGAAGCACTGCCTTCAGGAGCCTGCGATGCCTGCCCCAGTGGTTTCGATGCTAAACGCTGAGCAGATGAAGGTCCAGCTCTAGGTTTCAGATTGGGCACGGTGGAAATACGTCTTCTTCTCTGCACATGCATCTCTGCAGGTTTACTAGCTTCTCCAGCACCATTCGATCTATCAGCCTTGTCATCACTGAAAAATGTAAAGGAGTATTCTGAAATACTTTACAGTGACAGATTCATAACTCTTACTTTCAGCATATGTTTATGCACCAATCAGTATGAATGTAGTGCTAGAGAGAAAAACAATTACATAGAAGCCGCAACACTAGAACCAACCTGTAGCTAGTAATTCCTCATAAACTTGCTGGCTACAAGAACTGGTATATTATTTTCTAATATTAATTATTAATGTTACTGTTACAAGCTAGTTGCCTAGTAATGCTAAACTCACATGTTCCTATCCCCCCCAGCCTGCTTTTTGAAATGCTGTCTACTCTCAGCTGAGAATGCCAAACATCACAGTACATACCAAGAATAATTCAATAAAGATATACACAAGTAATTTGATGTTTTTTACAACTATCTATCTGAACGTTCCTCTTACACATTTGTAAGGACATGACACATAAACTGTGAATGCAAAAAAAAACCAACAAACCTTCACCAGTCACAGAATCATAGAATAGTTAGGATTGGAAAGGACCTTAAGATCATCAAGCTCCAACCCCCTTCCCTTGGGCACGACATGTCACCCCCGACCATGTCAACCAAGGCTCTCTCCAACCTAGCCCTGAACACCATCAGGGATGGAGCATTCACAGCTTCCTTGGACAACCCACTCCAGTGCCTCACCACCCTCACAGTAAAGAACTTTCTCCTTATTTCCAATCTAAACTTCCCCTGTTTACGTTTGAACCCATTACCCCTTGTCCTATCACTACAGTCCCTAACAAAGAGTCCCTCCCCAGCATCCCTACAGGCCCCCTCCAGATACTGGAAGGCTGTTATGAGGGCTCCAAGCAGCCTTCTCTTCTCCAGGCTGAACAGTCACAACTTTCTCAGCCTATCTTCATACAGGAGGTGCTCCAGTCCCCTGATCATCCTCATGGCCCTCCTCTGGACTGGTTCCAACAGTTCCATGTCCTTTTCATGTTGAGGGCACCACAACTGCACACAATACTCCAAGTGAGGTCTCACAAGAGCAGAATAGAGGGGCCAGGATCACCTCCTTTGACCTGCTGGTCATGCTCCTTTTGATAGAGCCCAGGATACTGGCTGGCTTTCTGGGCTGCGAGTGCACACTGAAGCTGGCATACATGAAGTTTCTCATCTACCAACACCCCCAAGTCCTTCTCTGCAGGGCTACTCTGAATCTCTTCTCTGCCCAACCTGTAGCTGTGCCTGGGATTGCTCTGACCCAGGTGTAGGACCTTGCACTTGGCATGGTTAAACTTCATGAGGTTGGCATCAGCCCACCTCAGAAGCATGTCAAGGTCCCTCTGGATGGCATTCCTTCCCTCCAGCGTAGCAACCGAACCACACAGCTTGGTGTCATCGGCAAACTTGCCGAGAGCGCACTCAATCCCACTGCCCGTGTCACCAGCAAAGATGCTGAGCAAGAGCGGTCCCAAAACCAATTCCTGAGGGACACCGCTCGTTACTGGTCTCCAGTTGGACATTGAGCCATTGACCACAACTCTGTGTGTGGCCATCCAGCCAGGTCTTTATCCACCAAGTGGTCCAGCTATCAAATTGATGTCTCTCCAATTCAGAGACAAGGATATCGTGTGGGACAGTGTCAAATTCTTTGCACAAGTCCAGGTAGATGACATCAACTGCTCTACCCCTGTCCATCAGTTCTGTAGCCCCATTATAGAAGGCCAACCAACTTGTTGTTTTTCATTTGCCTTAGGATGCCTTCCAGGAGAACCTGCTCCAAGATTTTGCCAGACACAGAGGTGAGACTTGACTGGTCTGCAGTTCCCCAGGTCATCCATTTTCCCCTTCTTGAAAATGGGGGTTATATTTCCCTTTTTCCAGTCATTGGGAACTTCACCTGACAACCATGATTTTTCAAATATGATGGACAATGGCTTAGCAACTTCATTTGCCAGCTCCTTCAGGACCCACAGATGGATTTCATCAGGTTCCATGGACTTGTGCATGTGCAAGTTCTTAAGATAGTCTCAAACCAGATCATCTTCTACAGTGGGCCCAAGGTCTTCATTCTCACAGTCCCTGCGTCTGCCTTCCAGGATTTGGGTGGTGTGGTCAGATCATTTGCCACTGAAGACTGAGGCAAAGAAGTCATTGAGAACCTCAGCCTTCTCCAAATCCAGGGTAGCAAGTTCTCCTGATAGATTCTGGAGGGGGCCTACGTTGATCCTAGTCTGTCTTTTATTTGCAATGTACCTATAGAATCCCTTCCTGTTTTCCTTAACATCCCTAGTCTGTCCCCCATCACTGTCCTCCCTTTAACCCTGACCCACAAACTCTCTGTTAACTGATCACCTGTCCCCAGACAGAGTTCCATACTCTCCAGCCTATCCCTAACATAAAGGGCAACTCCCCCTCTGTGTCTGCAGGGCCTGTCTTTTCTAAAGAGCCTGTAACCTTCCATTCCAACACTACAGTCATAGGAGCCATACCACCATGGTTCTGTGACACCTATGATATCACACCCCTGAAGACATGCACACAACTCTAATTCCTCTTGTTTGTTCCCCGTGCTACGGGTGTTTGTTTAGAGGCATCTGAACCGAGCTCCAAATGAAGCCTGCTCATTGGCTGGAATATCTCTGCACTGCTCCAAGAATTTCTTATAGGTGCTGGCAACTGACTGGGTGTGTTGGGATGGAATGATGCCCCCCTCCCTCAACACATCTAGTTTAAAGCTTTATTGACCAGCCTGGCAAGCCTCCTACCAAAACTGCTCTTCCCCTTCATTGTCGACCAGCTCCACCAGCCTCCAGTAGACCTGGGCTCTCAAAGTGAGTCCTGTGTTCTAAATACCCAAACCCCTGACTATGGCACCACTGTTCTAAGCATTTATTAACCTGGCCAATCCTCCTAGCCTTTTTAAGGTCTTCCCCTTTATCCTGGAGAATTGATGAAAAGACAATCTGAGCTCCAGAGCCCCTAACCACCTCCCCCAGGGCTCTGTAGTCCTTCTTTATGCTCTCCAGGCTACTGTTATCTATATCACTAGCACCCACATGGATCACTAGAAGTGGGTAATAGTCAGTGGGACTTACTAGCGGAGGCAGCCTCTCTGCAACATCCCTGATCCAAGCCCATGGCAGGCAACACACCTCCCTTGAGACTGGGTCAGGCCGATAGATGGGTGCCTCTGTGCATTTCAAAGTAGAGTCCCCTATAACTACGACCCACTGCTTTTCCGTAGCGGCACCATTAGAGATCATCTTTACCAGTGCATCAGCCAGTTTGTTCATGTTGTGTGTTTCCTCATTACCCCCCTGCGGAACTGCGAAGCGGTTCTGGGTGGGGACATTAGATTTAGGAGGAAGCCCCTTGCTTTTAATTGTCCTCTTCCTCCTTTTTTTTCTGTTGGTTTCTTCTGTTGCTGTTTCCCAGCTTCCTGGGTTAGTGGCCTCCTTCTTTCCTTCATGAGCTACAGTGGACGCTTGAGGCCCCTGCACCGTTTGGGCCGGGAGCAAGCATTCCTGCTTCCACTCAGCTACCCTGACATCTCGCAGCCTATTGACAGCGTCCCGCAGCTCAGCCCCTGCTGCAGGAGGACCTCCACCGGGGAGCACCGAGTGCAGCCCTGCCCACTGTGCACCCTCCCCTCATCAGACCAGTGCAGGCACTCTCTACACCCCGAGCTCTGCGCTGCAGCCTCCCCTCTCATCGGCTCTGTCTGAGTGCCTACGCTGGCCACCGCCGGGGCAGCCAGAACAGAGCTCCCAGACCGGGCTCTGGGCATAAGGCGAGGGCTCACCACCCCGCTCCCTTGCCCGCGCGAACGGCCGCACCACGGCCTGCTCGCCGCGCTCCCTGGGGCGGGTTTTTAACCCGTTAGGGCTGGTGCCGTCCCTCCTGGCACTGCCCCCCGCGAGCCGCCGAGCTTTGCTACGCTGCTGGTTATGCGTAACTACATCAGAAGTAGCATTTTAGGGGCAAAAAGGTTCAGCTTTCCTGGAAAGCCTTCTTAAATATTTTTCCATCCCTTATGCAGAAATCATTTTCAAAGTGCAAGCACAACTGCCAACCACTACAGTGTGCCTAAATCTGTAGACTCCTGCAGTGTTTGGCTCTCTGGCCGTTGCTTACAGTAAGGCAGCAGAGAATCATAATTGAGTCACAAAGAGTTGTTTTAATTTTACACTGGAACTAAGCCTTGTACCTAAGGACAACCACACCCACGGTTCACTTAGCTATCATCAAGGAGAGTCACAAGAAAATGCCTTGGAAAGCATAGAAGAACATAAACCCAGAGAGAAACTTCCCTCTCCAGCTACCATCTACTATTCAGACAAATGCTGCAGATGATGTTTTTTGTGTTTAACAGCCTCTCTTAAATGGCTGAATCAATCTGTCCTACACCGTGAGCTCATATACATTTTTAGTGCACAGAACATCCCTCAGCAAGTTTAGCTCTATGTTCAGGATGAACAACTTTTAACACAAACTGTCTTAAGTTTTTTATAACTGCTCCACTTTTTCTTCAAAACAAGTGGATGTACACCTAGATATTTTCCACATTTATTAAAATATTCTGCAAGCCTGTTACTTATATGGCAAAGGTCTACTTTTTAAGCCATGTGAACAGATCCCTTAGAATATTCTCCCTCTCAGAACAGCACTGATGTCTAGTTTTGGAACTTACAAGTAATTTACACTGAAACATACAAATCTTTAATAAATCTGCTGAATCAGCAACAGTACCACACAACTGAAAAATAACAATTGTAACTTCATTTAAAAAAAAAAGTATCAAATAACAAAAGCTCCAGTAACCTGATCTCTGCAACACATAGATTTTATAAATAAAAACTGAAAGAAAAATATCCCTATACATCCTTATAGCACAAGTTTAAGCATAAAAGATGTAAAATGTATTTAAGTATAAAAGATGTAAAATACAAGTTGAATTAAAGGCAGCATGTGTCTACTAAAGATATGCCATGCTAGTTAGTCTGACACCAGAATTTTTAGTCACAGAAGACTGTAAGATGACCTTGTATTATACCATTCAGGATGACTTTCAACCAAAATAATAGAGGTATTCATGCAGAATGCAAAAACAGCTAGATAAAAGCGAGAAGGTTATTCTGGAAAGCAGTTACCAAACTGGGGAAATGTCCTGAGGAACTGGTCTGTACTGCTTTTGATGGGATAGTGTATTTTTTTCACAGTACATTTCAGCTGTTGCTGAGCAGTGCTTACACAGACCCAAGGCCTTTTCTCACATTGCCCTACTAGCAATAAGGCTGGGGATACACAAGGAGTTGGGAGGGGACACAGCCACAACTGACCCGAGGGATATCCAATACCATATAGTGTCATGCTCAGCATAAAAGCTGTGGAAGAAAATAGGGCAGATGTTCGCAATGATGGTTTTGTCTTCCCAAGTAACTACTACATTCATGAAACCCTGCTTTCCTGGAGATGGCAAGAGGTGAATTAATTCCTGATTTTGCTTTGCTTATACAAGAGGCCTTTCCCTTACCTATTAACATCTCAACCAACAAGTTTTTGGCACATTTGCCTTTTGATTCTCTGCCCATCCCAGCAAGCAAGCAGCAGTGTTAGCCCACAACAGGGCAGTCCTGAAGGACTGACTGAGCCTAGGATCAACTTTACCATGCACTTCAACTGCAATAAAAAGCACTTAAAAAAAGTAAACCATATAGGAAAAGGCAGATAGTTCTCCCTTGCTAATGCATGAAGAAGTGAAAGCAAAACAGACAGCGCTGTAAGGACGCAAAATCAAAGTCATTCAGTTATGGAATGTGGAATGCTTTTTTTTTTTTTTTTTCTGTACACAACAAACTGGAGCTCCCAGCTACTACACTGCCATTAAAAATGAGTACTGGAACACACTAGTCCTCTCCTTTGCAGTCTTAACTTACATATTATTTCAAGCACCTGCAGTGGAACTGCAGTAAGAAACGCAGATTTTGCTTAGGTTGCAAATGCGTCAGACACCCAGAAGTTGTCCGACTGCAGTCACCAGGCACCAAAGAGGGCGCAGACCTGCACCTCTATTTCAGGAGTTTTCAAGGGGAGACACCACCAAACCAAAGCAGGTGTTACGCGGAGACGGTAAGTCGCGACAACGAGCGTTACCGGAGAGACAGTCACCGCTACATCCCAAGGGCACCGGGGCAGGGTCCTCCCCCGACCCGTCCCGCTCCCGGGGATCCACAGACGGGCTGTGGCAGCGACCTAGACCAAACCCGCCGAGGAATCGCACGGCGCGGCATGGCCCAACTCCACCCCCGAGCTACCGCGGGCCTCGGTGGCACTCACCTCTCGACCCGCGGCGCGGCCGGCGGGGGCTCGGCCACGGCTTCCACCGCAGACTCTGACCCGGTAACTGCCGGGGAGCCCGAGGCATGAAGCTCCGTGTCCGCCGCGCTGCCGGCAGTGCTGCTCGCGGCGCTGACAGCGGCGCTGCTGCTAGCGGAGCTGACGGCGCTCCTGACCCCGGGCCGCACGTTGGGCCGCACATTGAGCCGGGCCCGGCGGAACATGGCGGTGGCGGTGAAGACGACGGCGTCAGCGCCGCGCGGCTCGGTAGCGCCGCGAACTCAACCGCCTCACGGCATACCACCCGCCTCGAGCTCGGCGAGCATACAGCGTCATCATCGCGCGGCGGCAGGAAGCGGAGGGGCGGGGCCGCGTAGGGAGCCGGCGGGGAGAGGGCGAGGTGGTGCTGTATGGAGCCGAGTTTCCTGTTAGAAACGCCTGGTGAGCCGCTTTCCAGGCGTTAGTTGTGCCGACTGTGGCCCCTTTGAAACGAGCAAGGCGGGTTCTTGCGGCTGGGAAGGGTTTTTCAGTGGGAGGACTTGGGCGGTGCTGATCAAAGCGCTCTTGGGCGAGGAAGAGGAGGGGTTTGCTCTCGGCCTGTAGGGCCCGAAGAAGGAGGGGCTGCCAGAGAAAGCAGCAGAGGGGCGGCTTGAGGGTTCTTTAGTTTCGCTTTGTGTGCTTTTGTTGTCCTTTTTAACTTTCTGTGGTGATTTTAACTGACAACGATCTGCTGCAGCGATTCCTTTATCCACCTTGATACCAAATAAAGTACGTTACTGTGTATAGAGAGATAGTAAGACTTCAAGGATTCTTAGCACTGCTGAGGCCGCACCTTGAATCCTGTGTTCAGTTCTGGGCCTCTCATTACAGGAGAGACATTGAGGTGCTGGACCGGGTCCAGGGAAGGGCAGCAAAGCTGGTGAAGGGTCTGAAGCACAAGTCTGATGAAGAACAGCTGAGGGAACTTGGGGGGGGGCTAGTCTGGAGAAGGGTCAGGGGGGACATTATTGCTCTCTACAACTGCCTGAAAGGAGCTTGTAGTGAGGTGGGGTCAGTCTCTTCTCCCAAATAACAAGCAATAGGACAAGAAGTAACGGCCTCAAGCTGCACCAGGAGAGGTTTAGATTGGATATTAGGAAAGATTTCTTCACAGAGAGGGTGCTCAAGCATTGGAAGAGGCTGCCCAGGGCAGTGGTGAAGTTCATGGAAGCGTTCAAAGAGGCCTTCCGTGATATGGTTTAGTGGTGCTCTTGGCAGTCCTGACCGATTTATGGAATAGAACTTTATAACTCACAAAGAGTTACAAAGCAGGTATGTTTTTTGCAGCGCCGGGTGCGAGGGGGATCACTCCTAATTCGCACACCAAAAGCTCAACAAGCTGGTTATTTATTACACACAAACATATATTCATCAGATTTCACAAGCATAGGAGGAGATTATTATAATTATTTCCAAGAACTCGGTAATATTCCCCTCCCTTCTACGTCTGCACACTGCCATCTGGTGGTCTTGGTCCGGCGTCTTCTGGATGAAGTAGGAGGTCTTCCTCACCATGCACTTTTCACCCTTGGCACAGTTTCCCCAGCTGGCAACCTCAAGTCTTACAGAGACTAGCTGAAACAGGTTCTTGTCAGACATTCATCTTCTTGAAGGAAAAGGGTCCCTGATTTTAAACAATGTGTTTTGGCTATCTATTCTATTTTGAGTTACAGTTTAACTGGCAAGAACAAGAACATACCTGTTCCCTATTCTAAGACAATGCGTAGTTTGAAGAAAACTCTTAACTCTTTCCTTAGTCCGTTACTATTCCTCGCATCACTGAGATGATGGTTGGACTTGATCTGAAAGGGCTTTTCCATCCTAGTTGATTCTATGATTTTATAAGGAAGGCATGCAACAAGAGAACCCCGTATCTTGTTTCAAACCAGTGCGGGCTTTCCTCCAGCTGATAAGGCCTGGGAAACAGGTAAACAACTGTGCAAGTAAACAGCTAGAGGAGCCTCTCAGGGTCATAAATTATCCCAAGCAAGAATATACAGTTAATTGGCAGGACTCAGCACGCATTCCAATGTCCTTAACTAACGGATTTCCATAAAAGGGTAAAGCGAGTGGGGGTATTTTAGATCCAAAACCCCGCCGGACACGGTACGAGCGCCCCCCCAGCGGCGCGGCAGAGAGGGGAATAACCGGAGCCCCCACCCTTCCCTGCCTGCCGCCCGTCCGCCCGCCCGCCCCGCCCCGCCCCCGCCCCCGCCCCCTCCCCTCAACCAGCCCGCAGATTGGCCAAACCGTCGGGCGCTGTACTGCCTTCCGCGTGCCATGATGACGTCGCGGATCAGCGACGTTTTATAGGGAGCGGCGGGGGCGCGGAAGGTTCCGGCAGCCGGAGCGGTGCTTGTGGCGCGTTCGGTGGTAGCGGAGCTGCGCGGCCCGAGTGTCTCGCGATGACCCGTGAGTGCCGCAGCCCTAAAGGCGGCTGCTCTGGGCCCCGCCGGGGAGTGGGGCGGAGCAGGCGGTGGGCCTTTGCGGAGAAGCGCGGCCTGGGCACCGCGCCGGGGAAGCCCTGCGTTTGGTCCGGGGTCGTGAGGTTGACCGCAGTGTGATGTCGGGCCTTGTGGCTGTAGCCTTACCCCGGCGAGTGCATGGCCGCTGGGGCTGAAACTGACCACATCTTGCTGCCGGCCCAGGCTTGGAGCAAGCGCCTCCTCGCCCCGGACCCTGTCGTGGCTGTGTTGGGGAGTGGGGAGGAGGAATAGCGATATGCTAGAACAAGAGCAACATGCAGTTTCAGTCCTGGCTACTGTCCAGTCTGCAAAAAAAAGAGCTATTGTGTGACTGCCGAGTATTTAATACTGTGTTGCTTAAATGGTGGTAGTTAAGGTTGTTACTGAAAAGGCAGCAGTACTTGCTAATCATCACCTTATTCAAAAGTAACGTTGGTATATCTACTTTAAAATGGCGGAGAACTGTGAACCAGACATAGAATGTTCTGGTTCCCCTAACTGGCGGGGTGGCTGGTTTGGCTTGTGTGTTACTGTACTAGGCAATACAGAAACTGCCTGTGTTTAACTGAGGGGGTGCTTTTACTTTCACACTTAAAAATGCCACTGTAGTGCTAGAAGAGCAAATAAAGACCTGGGTCAGAAAACAGTTTGCGTGCAGATCAAACCGTGAATGTGAGAAAGAGTCAGGTTTACATCTGCTGATATTCCCCCCCCCCCCCCCCCCCCCCCATTCTGAATGGTAGTAAAAATACACATGGCCGAAGGCTAAAACGAGGCACAGCATCCCACACCCAAGCATAGCAGGATGATAACATCTAACTTTTGAGGACCTACTTTAATACAGCATCTGCAATACTAGAGGTGTAGAAGTTGTGGTGTGCTGCCGTACAGTCTAGCCTTAGCTTTAGTATGTATTTCTGGAGTTTAGCGCTTTGTTGTCAGTCAGACCGGGATTAGACCCTGTGTTTTCAAATGGACGTTTAGTAAAATAGATTAAGTGCTAATTATTGTGCTTCTCAGTTCATAAATTCGTGGAACTTGTGTACTGCCAAATTTCAGAGTACCTGAAAATGAATAAATTCATGAAGATGGTGGTGACTAGATGAATTAGAGAGGGTTTATGTCACTAGTCTTCTATTAATTGTTCCTTTATCAAACAGTTCTGTTTATTTTTGCTTTCTGTTTTGGGGACACGGTGGCAGGCACTCTTCTGCTTTAACATATGATTAGTCATTTGCTGCTCAGAAAAAAATTCTAGTCATGACGACCTCTGTAGCCAGTTCTTGCTATTCTCTTTCACTTCCTTACAGTAGAGATGATCACTGCTTGATGATCACTGCTTGTTCCAGTGCTGTTCAGAGGTCTTATCCTTGTCTTCGAGAACAGCTGAATCTTGGAGGAGCACGGGCAGGTTGAGCTAAGGTGTATGTCTTGCAGAGGCAGGCATGGATGGGGATGCTCAAGCATAGGTACAATCAGAAAGGGTGTACTGACCTTTACATGGCAGATCATGCTTGAATTTCACATTACAGGAAGTTGAATTGTGTTCTGCAAGGACTGGACCAAAATTCGTGGAAGATTCAGGTTGATGTTACAGAATGTAGAAAATGGCACCATCTTCCTTGGAGCTAGGGATACTCATTCAGCATCCCAGGTGGAGTACTGGGTCCAAACAGTTCTTGGCAATGTTTACCTGGAAGCAGGGGTTATACAAGTGATCTTTTCAAATAGGTGTTTGGTTTTGGATGCCTTGCATGCGTACTGTATTGATCTACTTTTCCACCTCCTCTGTTTTGCAAGTGGCAGCCAAGCTTTTCAGTGATGCCGTTCAGTTTGATTCTGAAGTTTATAGTCTTACCATGTTGTCCTGGGTTCAACTGTAACAGTTATTTTTCTCTTTCCTAGTAACTGGTGCAGTGCTGTGCTTCAGCTTCAGTCTGAGAACAGTGCTGGTAAGACACTAATGTTTTAGTTGTTGCTGAGCAGCACTTAGCGTGATCAAGGGCTTTTCAGCCGCGTGCTCTGCCAGTGAGGAGGGGCACAAGAAGCCAGGAGGGAGCAGAGACAGGACACCTTTGGCTAATTTGGGTCAGGGGTATTCCATAACACAGCGCGTCATGCCCAGTATATGAACTGGGGGGAGTTACTTGGAAAGACAGGTCACTGCTTGGGTCAGGCTGAGTATCAGTCAATGGGCGGTGAGCAGTTGTATTGTGCAGCACTGCTGGTTATTGGTGGTTTTTTTTGTCCTTCCCCTTTTAAGGTTTATATTCTCTTCCCTTACTTCCCTTATTAGTAATAGTAGTTTTGTATTATACCGTAGTTTCTGGACTGTTCTTACCTTCACCCATGGAGTTTACATTCTTTCAATTCTCCTTTCCATACCACCTGGAGGGAGAGGAGGGAATGAGGAGATGGGTGAGTGGCTGTGTGTTGCTGAGTTACTAGCTAGGCTTAAACCATGATGTGTATGGGGTAACTTAAGACATGAGGCATGGTGCTTGCTTGGAAAGGAAGGAGGCATATGAGGATAACTGCTATGTGAATTCTGGCTATAGCAGTGTGGTTTTACTGTCTGCCCCCATTTCTTCATGGTATAAGAAGATACTTAATTTCTTTGAGCACCAGCAAAGAACTGTTCCATTGCTGCTAACTTGTTTATAGACATTCCTGCTTCCTGAACACCACGAAGCTGAAGAACCATTTATAGCCTGGAATGTATCATCTGCTCATGAGTCACTAAGTTCTAATCAACTCAATTGCTGCCGGAGATAGTGAGGTGATTTACTTTATGAACAAATAGTGGTCCTTCTACCTGGAATGTGGGGACAGGATCTCACTCAGTGGTAGTGAGAAAGAGAACTCCTATTCCATCCTAGCTTTTTCAAAAGATAGTACTTGATGTCCTGTCACAGGTGAGGATTATCTTCCAAGGCAGGAGCAGCCTTTGGTCATCAGCAGTCATAATATGCTGTTTCCATTTGGGCTTCTGGTACCTCTTGCCACACAGTACACGTACAGGTGTGAAGAACGCACAAAACATCTCCTCTTGCGGGGTTGGTCTTCCCTACATGTTGACACAATAGGTACCTTTATTGGCTCACAAATAGGATGAATAAAAGTGGTGAATTGTATGAACAGGTTGCTGTTTAAAATTGACCTTGTCCTAAACTGTTTCTATATACTTGAAATTACAGGCACATAAAGATTGCAGAGATCTCTGAGATTCAAAGATGGCATACATAGTCTTAAGACTGGAGAGAAAAAGAGGAACAGCCCAGATTATGGAGAGGTGGAACTTTCATTTTTGAGCATAGGAAAATGTGATCATGTTTGTAGAACAGCAAAAGTTACTGTTGTCATTTTGCCCAGGTTATTGATGGGATGGTCTGGTTTCAGTCTTTTATGAGAAATTGCATTGCGATACTGGGAAGAATGTTGAAATGGATCTTGGTGATCTCTTGCACATAACCTGTAGATACGTAAACATAAACTAACAAGCTTTTATCTTCCAGTTGTGCACTGGAAGGGGGAGACTGGTGGAAGATACTGCCAGCTACAGAAGATACTGCCATACTAGCTCTGCAGATAGAGCCACGCTTTACCACTTTTATAATAGACTTCTTCACAGGCAAACTGTGGCGTATGAGGCACAGACTCCAGTTGTGGGGAAACTGAAGACGTTTATTGAGTGAGCTTAAGGCTTTTATAGTACTGTGCCTAGCAGTTAGTATCAGTTAGCTCCTTCCCTACTTTTCCATCACGAAACACCGTGCACTTTTCCAGCCAGTACCTTACTGATCACGTGCCTTTCAGCCAATCATATTACTGTCCACTCAGCAAGTCATATTACTGTCCACGTGTCTTTGCTTAAGCAACTATTTTTAAGCAGATATATAAACATGTTTCTGTGCTACCACTTGTTGCTACATTATTACTTTCTGTTCTCTTTGAATACACATTCTTTGTCCCCTTGGCCCACATTTCCCCCTTTTTTGTTTGCTAAGCTTTGCAAAGTGAGCACAGTATGTTTTTGTGCAAGCATCACTTGATTTATGCTTTGGTCTATAAGTTGTGGAATACAAGAAAACAAACATGGCAAACAGATCATAATCATCAACAATGCTAGAAGCCCTGTTACGACAAAGCCAACTATGTGTCTAAGCCAAGAACCAAAATTTCCCAACCAAGAAAACAGTCCAAAAGGCTCCCATCCTTGGTTTTGTCGCAGTTCCCCAGGCAGTTCTGTCAAATCCTGGATGCTTTTGTGAGCTGACTTGAAGTGATCACTCAGATTCATGCAGCACATTCCATCAAAGTCTTCACACCCATGCGTATGTACTAAAGGCAGAAGATCAATCTCTGCCCAATTTTGAACAATCAAGGTGGCAAGCACTTTGGCTTCAGTTCTTAGCAAGTTGGTAACAAGCCTTCAGATGACATGGAGGAAAAGCAAAGCAATGTGGTGATGTCCAGGCTCCAAAAACAAGGTTTCACCAGTGTGTTGGGCAGATATACTGGGAGTCTTGGGAACCTGGAGATAGATACTGTTACTTCCAACGACACAGTCCTTTGCTTTCTTTATACCCTTCTCTGCTTCAGGAATCTTAAATCACACAAGAGCAGCTTCTTGACATTAGCCTTTGAGAATAGAAGATTCAAATATGATAGATATTTATTTCATTATTATTACTTATAGTAGTTACTTGTGCTAACTTTTGCCATTTTTGTTGGGTTTGTTTGTTTTTTTTTTGGGTTGGGGGTGTCTGTGCGGATGATGAAACCTGCTTTAGATGACTCTGGCTGAGCAGGGGATTTGGACTAGATCGTATCTCATTCTGATGACAGGCTATTTGGCCTGCACTTCCCTCCAGGATGTCCCTCTTATAACGGAGGAGGCCATCCCTCACGTCAAGGTCTTGGCATGGCATGTGACCCCACCGCTCA